CTGGGAAAGCAGTCAAGGACAGTCCAAAGCCTTGGGATCCTGCACCCATGTGGGAGACCCGGAGGAAGAGCTCTTGATTCTTGCCTTCAGGTTGGTATAACTTCGGCTGTTGCGGCCACTTGGGAAATGAATCATCAGTGGACGAAGTATCTTCCTCTCTGTCCCTCCTCCTCTCTATGTATCTGACTTTACAATAAAATAAATAAATCTTTTTTTAAATGAAATATTTTTTCTAAAATAATTTTTAATGCTAAGAATTATTTAAAACAAATACGTCTTGAAAAACATAGAAACACCATAAGTTACAACCATATGTTCTCAGACAGAACAGCCATTGACATTTTGCTATAATTGCTTCAAATATATCTCTTAAAAAATGTAATAAATCCAGCCCCAGCTCCCAGCCCCGTTCCTTACCTTCCTTTCCGTGGAACACCACTATCGGGAATTTGTTGTACCATTCTCATGGGTTTTAAAATTTTACCTTAGATACACACACATACACACACACACACACACACACACACTCACATGATTGTATATGTGTGTATATGTATATATGGCATCATGAACAACATTTGTTGTATTTTATGTTTTTATAATTTATAATAAATGGTTCACTGTGCGTTTCCTTTAGTAATCACCATTTTCCATGTGATAGGTTTTTGAGAAGCAGATGCAATTTATCCTGCTGGTGTTTAAATATTCTGTTGGTTAGAGGCCAGCATTGTGGCACAGTGGGTTGAGCTTACAGCCACAATGCCAACATTCCATTTGGTTACCAGTTCCAATCGTGGATGCTCCACTTCTGATCCAGTTCCCAACTAAAACTCCTGGGAAAGCAACAGAGGATGACCCAAGTACTTGGGCCTCTGTTCCCACGTGAGAAGCCTGGATGAAGCTCAACGCAGCCCTAGGCTTTGCAGTGATTTGGGCAGTGAACCAGCCTGTAGGAGAAATCTCTATGTGTCCCTTCTGTGTTTGTAATTGTGCCTATCCCCATGTATATAAGATATATATATGTATCTTCTATTGATTAAACTGTCATGTAAAAATAGTTGAAAATATTAAGATTTTAGGATTTATTCATACTTCAGCTCAAAGTAATCATTCCTCCATTCTGTAAAACTCCCTATAAATTAACAGGGATGTTCATTTAAGTATAGGGGAACTTAAGAACTTGGGCACTAGAAACTGATTTTATTTTTTTAGAGATTAATTAACTTTTATTTGGAAGATTTACAAAGAGAAGGAAGGACAGAGAGAAAGATGTTCCAACTGCTGTTTCATTCCCCAAATTGCCACAACAGCCAGAGCTGAGCTGATCCAAAGCCAGGAGCCTAGCACTTCTTCTGGGTCTTCCGTATGGGAGGACTTGAGCCATCCTCCAGTGCTTTTCTAGGCCTTAAGCAGGCAGCTGGATGGGAAGTGGAGTAGCTGGGACATGAACTGGCACCCATTAAGATGCTAGCACTGTAGTCGGAGGATTGGTCTGTTGAGCCACAACACTACCACCTTTCCCTTGATTTGATTTTTTAAAAAGACTTATTCTGTTTATTTGAAAGACAGTAACATGGAAAAAGAAACAGAGAGAGGTGGGGAGAGGGAGAGAAAGAGAGAGAGAGATCTTTCATTCTCTGGTTCACTCCCCACATAGTTGCCAACAACATGTGCTCACCAAAGCTGAGAGCCCAAAGGTCCATCCAGGTCTCCCATGTGTGTGCAGGGCTACAAGCACTTGGGCCATCTTCCACTGCTTTGCCAAGCGCATTAGCAGGGAGCTGGATCAGAAGTAGAACTTACACTTGGCCTATATGGGATGCCAGTATTGCTGGCAGTGGCTTAACCCATTAAGTCACAATCCTTGACTTTGCAAATACCTATCTGGTGATGTCAGAATACAATGAGGTTTAGGAGAGAAGAAAAAAAGGCTTCAGTTGGTTAAAAATTTTCACATAAAACTATTTGTGCTAAAAACATGTGAAGGAAGAAGCGGTACAGGAATTATTGAATAAATAAAGGGAACATGTCAAAATTCGCAGGAAGAGGTGTCTGTATAAAGAACTCAGCAAGGCCTGCCTTGTGGTGAGTCTTTTGTCAGTGAGTCCTGGGCCTCTGGGCTGCAGTATGTAAAGTTGGCTTGGTAGCTCAGCTCCTCAGAGCTGTCTCTGAGGGACACTTTCGTGCCACATATTTGGGTACTAATTAAGTGACATGTTCTTAGTCACTGTGTCTTGCAGGAGCCTCAGGACTGACCGGGATTCACTTGAGAAGTATGAGTTGACATAGCAGGAATTTTTCTAGACTTGTTTAGAGACTGATTTCTTTGGAAATGCCACCTTGTGTTTCACAGACCTGTCATTGGCAATGTGAGTTGCATGGTTATTATACAAATAGAAATTTATATGCACCCATGAGTTGATATCAGATTACATTTGGGCACTCTGTATCCTCACCTGGAGACAGGAATTATAGCTGCTGCAACTCGGCTGTGAGACTAGAAGTGACTCACTGTGACAGCTTGAGAAAGTCACTCAATCCGGCCATCAGTCTCTCTTTTGGTTGCCAAGTGGGACAGGACCTACATTACGAAGTGTTGATTAAATAAGCATGGACTCGGAGCACTCAGACCAGTCTACGGCACAAACTGAAGCATAGGACTAGTCAGAAAATAAATAAGGGTCTGATTATTGGGTCAATGGGCTTGTCTTCTAAAATCTTGGCTACTCTTTTGAAAGCTTACTTGATGGAATACATTCTATTCCATAAAATTTTCATATGGCTTCTGTGTTATTGCAGCATAAACACAGTTTTCATGAAGAGACACCATGGGAAGTATGAGGATCATATAACAAACATAGCCTTTTATACACCAAGACCAACCTCTGTTTTGAAAAGGCTTTAGCCAACACAATATTTTGCTCTGGATAAATTTATCTGTTGTGCCAAAGTGTTTGTTAAGATACATCGTATGCTGTGATTAGTTGAAGAATTATGCATGATTCTGTGATTGTAAAAGGTGAAAGATTTATACAATCTGGAAGAGAAACCAGAGTGATTCTGTAAAGATGTGATATGCTTCTAACTCTTCTACCTCCAAGTATTTTTATCTTTGGAGAAATCTATAAATTATTATTTTAATCATAGCATTTTTGCATTATAAGGAAATATGGATGTTTTTACTTAAAATTACAGCAGGCAGCTACTAGAAATTGTACATATAATCTTATCAGTGTCTGTGGAGTATTGTGTGCCTTCAGGCTGTCAGTATTTGCGTAATTTTTTGGATGTTTTACAATTGCTTTTATTGCTTCTTTGTTATCTTTAAGTTTATAAGGCCTTTGCCTTACAAAATAAATACAAAACAACATGTGCAATGACAAATAAGGTCCTTTCTCATTCTGCCTTCAGTCCCTGTTTCTCCAAGAGAAGCAAATACTTTTATAACTAGATATGTAATGGAAGAATACAGCAGACTTAGTATTCACCACCAAATCATTTCCTTTAAATCTATTCCTTTGCTTATTTGAGAACTAGAAACAGATGGGCAGAGAAAAAGAAAGCTCCCATCTGTTAATTCATTCACCGCACACTATAAAATAGTAGGGGCTGGGCTCTGTTGAAGCAGGGAGCTGGGAAGCCATGTTGGTCTCACAATTGCTGAACTTAAATTCCAGGGTTTGCTTTAACTGGAAGCAGGAATTAAGAACCAGAGCCAAGGATGAAACCTCGGTACTCCGATGAGGGAAGCTGGTGTCCCAACTGGCGGACTTAATCACTGACCCAAATGCCTGCCCCCACTAAATCATTTTTAAAATAAGAATTGTACTGTTACGTATATGATGTTTTAAAAAGGTGACTGATTACATCTTTCTGTAAAAATGTATTGCATTTATTTGAAAGGCAGAGTGACAGAGATAAAGGGAGAAACAGAGAAAGAGAAAGAGTCAGTGGCCACCTGGCTGGTGTTGGGGCCAGGCCATAGCCAGGAACCAAAAACTTCATCAGAGTCTCCCACATGGATGCAAGGACCCAAGCTCTTGGGCCATCCTCTGCTGCTCTCCTAGGTCCACCAGCAGAGAGCTGGACCAGAAGTGGAGCAGCCAAGACTGATACTAGTACCACAGGGGTTGCAGTGTCACAGGTGGCTGTTTAACTCACTCTGCTGCAATGTAACCTGAAGCAATTCTGTCTTTAGATGCTTACACAAAACTAAGCAAGAATATGAGCAAAGATTCATCTGTAAGCATGTTCATTGAAGCATTATTGATAAGGAAAGAATGGAAAGCTATGCAAATCCATTTATACATGCTATTTACATCATAAATTATGTTATAGTAATTGTAGTCGTTGAGTTTTATGTTTATGAATATCATGAAAATACACCGACATCGAATACCACCTTCTTGCTTTTCTTAAGCTTAGCTCTATATGATCTTGGCCTTCCTCGTCTGTCTTGTCTATACAGAGTCCCCTACCCACCATGTGCCCCACAGGGAGGGAAGGGCCATGACAGCACCGGGTATTTTAAAGCTGGGCATTTGGAGCACTAACGCGATCCCTAGAAGAGCAGACCCTACTTACTTGCCTTTTGTTATGGACAGTGTTCTTGTCTTTAAAATTCTGTTCTCTAACCCTTTGCTCTATATTTATAAATGCTACACTTTGCTAACATTTGAAATGGTTCGCTGCCCCTGAAACCATGGATTAGAAGGCAAATCAGCGTTTGACAGGTTGTTGAGAAATGTCTGTGCCTTGTCACAGCCTGCGTTCCCTTCCCTGTGTGTGTTAGCGTCTGGCTGGCTAGCCTCTGCAGAGAGGCACCGTAAGGGTTCTTTGGTGGCCAGACTCCCGGGGTGACTTCTAGAATGTGCTTCCTCTGTGCCTTGCATTCATGTGGCGAAGTGTTTCCAAAAGGCTAACATGTATATATACACACACACATATATATATATATATATATATATATATATATTAATGGCACTGCTGTTTCTAGGTCCAAAGGCGTGAAGGTCTCCTATCCAAAGATGGAAAACAGCACTACCACCATTTCCCGGGAGGAGCTTGAAGAACTGCAAGAAGCCTTTAATAAAATCGGTAGGCTCGAGTGCAAGGATGTAGAGTGTGCCTGTTCTACTTGTCTGCTTGATGTCACATTCAGGGCGGGAACAATACCTTTTTTTTCCCTTCAGCCACCACCCAGTTACCACTAGATTTATTAATGCCCCCCTCCCCTTTTTTATATCTAGGTTTCACTTTATTCTTTCTTTCTGAAAGATACACTAAGACTGGCTTGGATTTCTAAGTGAATTGGACTTTGGATTCTTTGATCATTTCCTTGCAGAAAATGATCCGGGTTAATGAATGACAGTGTAACTGAATACACTTAACATGGATCCTCATTAAAGAGGAAAAATGCAGGCATACTTCCTTGTGTAGAAACTGAACTCTGGCCTCCTTGTCCTTGTCACTAACAATAAAACATTTTCTGACTTCGTGCAGTATATTTAAAAAATCTTGGTGTTATTTTTAAAGGCCAGCTGTCTTACTTTCCTTTTCCTTCATGAATAATTTTTAAAAATCTTAGTATTGTTGTTAAAGGCCACATAGCTTCCTTTTCTTCTTTCACTTTTTAAAGACTCCCAGTTTTTGTTGTTGCTGCTGTTGTTGTTGTTGTTGTTTTTGTGACATTATCTTTTTGACAGCTTGGCATTTTTCTTCCAAAAAATCTCATACTCTTGCGGATCATAATTTTTCTGTATTTTGCTCTTAGCAAACCTGTAGTAAACAAGGACAATATAGATTTTTTTTTTTTTTTACTTTTGCCTATAAATGCGTGCTCCTGAAGGTGACGCCGTTCAGCTTGGGCCAGGTCAATAGGCCTGGGGACAGGGACACTCCCCTGGTGTCCCTTCCTCAGTAGGCTTCTTCTCAGACAGGAGAACTCAGGCTGCAAAACAGAGTCAGGTGGAGCCTAGAGAACACAAGCTTCTAGAATAGCAGCTAGAATTAATATGGGTGAAACGAAATATAGCATCAATCTCAGAGATCATTACAAAGAAATAAATTTCAAAAATAAAGCTCTCTCTCCCTTTTCCTTTTTAAAAAAAATAATAAAACTCAGGAATCTCATGACTTGCAAATCATTGCTGGGAAGGAAAGTGAGTTCCACAAATTACTGGGCCCTCCCACTTCTGCTGGAGGCTGGCTGAATTGTCATTAGAGTAATGCAGGTAGATGGTGTGAGTTCTGATAAGGAGCAGAAAACTAATACAAAGTATGTATGTGGAAGAAATTCTACTAGAGAAGGTAGAGTCTTTTTTTTGGGGGGGAGATTTATGTTTATTTGAAAGATTTTTAGAAAGAGAAGAGACAAAAGGAAAGATAAAGAGAGGTCTTCCAACTGCTTATTGACTCCCCAAATGGCCACAATGACTGGAACTGAGCCAGTTTGAACCCAGGTGCCAAAAGCTTCTTCCTAGACTTTCATGTGGGTGCAGGGTCCCAAGGACTTGAGTGTCCTCCCAGGCTATAAGCAGGAAACTAGGTTGTAAACAGAGCAACTGGGACATGAACCAGCACCCATATGGGATGCTGACACTGCTGACAAAGGATTAACCTGTTGAGCCACCATGTTTCCCCCCATCTTAACCATTTCTTCTTAAAGATTTATTTATTTTTATTGGAAAGTCAGATATATAGAGAAGGAGAGACAGAGGGAAAGGTCTTCCATCCCTATGTGGGATGGAGCTGAGCCTATCCGAAGCCAGGAGCCAGGAGCTTCTTTTAGGTCTCCCACATGGATCCAGAATCCCAAGGCTTTGTGCCATCCTCTACTACTCTCCCAGGTAACAGGCAGAGAGCTTGATGATGAATTGAGCAGCCAGGACATGAACGTGCACCCATATGGGATCCCAGTACTTGCAGAGGGAGGATTAGCTAAATGGGCCTTTGTGCCAGGCCCCCATCTTAACCGTTTGTAAGTGTGCAGTTCAGTGATATCAAGAACATTTGCTTTATCATTCTGTATCCATCACTTCTTCCTTCTCTGTAACTCTTTACTCCAACTGAAACTCTGTGCCCATTGAAATATAGTTCCCCACTTTTCCCTTCCCAAGTCGCTGGCAAACACATTTATATTTTTTAACTGTATAATTGACTACCCTTACACCTATGTGGGAAATCCAAAGAGGTTTCTGGAAACTGGCTTCAGCTCAGTTCAGCTCCAGCCATTGCAGACATTGGTAATGAACCAGCAAATTGAAGATTTCTTTTTGTCTTGCCTTCTCTGTATCTCTGCCTTTCCAATACTAATAAAATAATCTTTATTTTTTTTTTAAATTTACTACCCTTTGTAACTCAGATCATTGAACTCATGCAGTATTTTCTTTCTGTGAGTGGCTGATTGGCCTTAGTAGGATATCTTCTGGGGTCGCCCTGTGTTGGAGCAAGAGTAAGAATGTCGTTCTGCTTTGTGGCTGAGTAATACTCTACTGTATGTATATACTCCATTCACTGGCCTGTTGATCCCTTATTGGCTGTTTGAGTGGCTTAAGTCTTCTTCCCATTGTAATTAATGCTGCTACGAATCTGAATGTACAAATATCTACGCAAGTGCCTCCTGTTTAACTGTAGCTCCCCAGGGGTAACTACCAGATCATAGGTTCATGCTGTATTTTAGTTTGTAGAGAATAACCACATTGTTTTCCATTGAGGATCTACCATTTTACATTCCCCCTTGCAGTGCACAAGGGTTCATCTCATTAGCAACTCTCGTGGCTTGCTGGTGTTTTGGTTTTGATAGCAGTCATAGGTGTGAAGTCATATGTCTGTGGTTTCGATTTACAGTCTCTAATAGTTTATGTTGTGGAATAGCTTTTACTGTATTGAGAAATCCTCATTAAGTCTTTTGCTTATTTTTGAATGTGTTGTTTAAATTGGATTGTTGTTAACTGTTGTTGAGTGGTGAGAAAGTTTTACTTTTTTCAAAAGCTATGTTCTGTATAGCTATTTAACCTCAGCTGTATTTCCCTCACCTTTAAAATGAGACTGATAACAGTAGTCATTAACTCAGAGTTGTATTTTGCGACAAAACTTTAATGGTCTCAGCAGGTCATTTGGCACAGAATGTGTGCTCATCAAATGGTGTGGTATCTTTCTACTTCTTATCGTGTCTCACTGAAACCACGTAGGCTGCAGGACCAGAGCCTGGATTTCAGCACAGAGATTGGTCTGAACTCTGGTCTTTTTTTGTGAAAAAAAAAAAGAAAGAAAGAAAGAAAAACATTCATTTGTTTTGAGTTTATCTGAAAGGCAGAAAGACGAGAAGTATGGAGATAGAGAGGTTTTTCGCCTTCTGGTTCTATTCTTAGTAGTTTAGCAGGATAGTTAACAAGCAAAAAACTTTCTCAATTTTGTTTCTTTCTCGTGGTAGTGCTGATGTGGAAGCAAGCCAGCCACTCTATTTATTTCAACACCTTAGAAAGGAGTTCTGAAGTTGTAGTAAACTAATGAGACCTTGCAATTAATTGAAAAAAAATTATTATTCCAACATCAAACTAAAAATTTAGCTTCCTGGCTAACTTTTGAGATTCTAGCCATTTTTTGGTTACTGGTGGTTGTACTTTAGAAACTTTCTGAAGAGTATTGTTCTAAAACTTTCATCTGAGAGCTCAACAGAAGTTTCCTCTCCATGAACTTAGTTACAGTGATGACAACTGCTTTATTGAGAAGATAAAAGAATCACAGGAAACAAAGCAACTCCTTACCAGATGAGCAAAGAGATCCTATCCTAGGTGGATCCAGGCAACCAACAAAACAGCCCAAAGCTCTGTTGCCAACACCGAGCACAAGTGTTTTGTGTGGCCTTTGTTCTGAGTGGCAAAGTGATATCTAGCCTCCAGGGAAAGGCCAGGGAAGGCCAGCTCAGGATGGTGTGTAAACACCAGGAAACCTATTTTTTTTTTTTTGAGGTCCAAATACATGTGTGACATTTCTTTAACACTTAATCTCAAAGTGACATTCAACATGACTGAACCACATACAATAGTGTCATCAATATGTAATGAAGATACAATGAATTATTGACAAATGAAACAGAACCGCCACTGGCGAGATGGAGAACAAAAAAGCTTTCTTTTGACTTTATGTGGCACATGTTATTCTGTATGACACATGGGCTCAACAGATACAGCTTGTGAATTCCATCAAGAAGTTAATGCTCCGCGTCAGTGTTGCCTTCAGGCTGTTGCCAGTGTATTGCCCAATGCTTATTTTTTGAGAATTAGCCCAGTGTTTTAAGTAGATTTTCTGTCTGAGCACATCCATACGATCCACTGAAAATATGTAACCCTAAATCTATGGGGACAAACTCCATTAAATATAATGATAAGTACAGTACCCCTGTACATTGCTGTATGTATACTTGAGAGCAGCAGTAAACTTTACTGCTATTGCTGGTTAAATGGTAGTAATATTACTATTTTTTTAGTAATTGGTATATTGCTGGACAGTCAATACACCAGAGAGGAAACCTGGTACAAGACAACAGGGGTATTCTCTTGGGAAGACAAGTTGTTAAGAAGACTTTTAAGGGAGAAAGGCTCCCTTGTGCCTATCCCTGGCTTTGTGGCACTCTGGGTGAAGCTGCTCATGATGCTGCTGCTGGCATCCCATACAGAAGCAATGACACTGCTAGTGGAGGCCACTCAGCCTCTGATCCAACTCCTTGCTAATGAGGCTGGGAAATTAGGGAAAGATGACCCCTTTACTCGGCCACTGTCACCCCTGTGGGAGACCTGGAAGACCTTCTTTGTTCCTGGCTCTTGTCTTAGACCTAACACAGCCCAGGCCCTTTGGACAGTGAACCAACGCCTGGAAGCTCTGCCCCTCCCATGCCTTCTATTTCTATGGCTCTACTTTTCAAATAAATAAGTAAATAAATAAGTTAAAAAAAAATAAAGGCAAAAGGGGTGTGGGTGGAGGTTGTAAAACTAGGTTTGGGGTCAATGCTGAGGTCATGTATGTGGAGACTTTAGCCTGAAACTTGTCTGGTTTTTGTGTGTTGACGATCATTTCCTCCCTTATCCTGGGTCTTCTGTTTTACCAACTATCTCCTTGCCACCCGCTCTAGGATTTTAGGTCTGAATCTGCTTGAAAAATTGTTGTGATCAGCCACAAGATTAGCAATCAGCTTTTGTCCATTAGAATGCGAAAAGAAAGGAAGAGTACGTTTTTTTTTTTTTTTCACACTTGCTAGTCCCAAGGTTAGAATGTGAGAAAGAAAAGGGGAACTGTGGGATGGTTACAGTACCGCTTGTGAAACCAAAGTGAAAGATCCTGCCTGCTCGAGCATCCAGCGATGGCCCTCTGAGTGCACAGCCTGAGCATCCAGCAGTGGCCCTCTGAGTGCACATCTGGAGCATCCAGCAGTGGCCCTCTGAGTGCACATTTGGAGCACGCAGCAATGGCCCTCTGAGTGCACATCTGGAGCATCCAGCAATGGCCCTCTGATTGCACATCTGGAGCATCCAGCAGTGGCCCTCTGAGTGCACAGCCTGAGCATCCAGCAGTGGCCCTCTGAGTGCACATCTGGAGCACGCAGCAATGGCCCTCTGAGTGCACAGCCTGAGCACCCAGCAGTGGCCCTCTGAGTGCACATCTGGAGAACCCAGCAATGGCCCTCTTAGTGCACAGCTCTTGCACCCAGCAGTGGCCCTCTGAGTGCACAGCCTGAGCATCCAACAATGGCCCTCTGAGTGCACAGCTTCAGCAGGGTGCAGAGGACATTACACAGCTTACCCCGTATCTTTACAGACATTGACAACAGCGGATATGTCAGTGACTATGAACTTCAGGACCTGTTTAAGGAAGCAAGCCTTCCCCTTCCTGGCTACAAAGTGCGAGAGATTGTGGAGAAAATCCTGGCAGTGGCTGACAACAACAAAGATGGCAAAATCAGTTTTGAAGAGTTTGTGTCAGTAAGTAACCTAATCATTTCCTAGCTGCTGGTCCATTTCAATGACGGCATTGCTTAGTTTTGGTTAGAATCAGCTACAGAGGCCAGAAAAAGCACTTCTGGGAGATGCTGATGGTGGTGATGGGCATTTAACCCAGTAGCTCAGATGGTGATTATCATATCCCACATAGGAGTTTCTGGATTCTGTCTCTGGCTTTGGCTCTTGAATCCAGTCTCATGGATCCGTGAAGGTGGTGGTGATAGATCAGGTGGTTGGATTTCTGCAATCACATAGGGGAGGCTTGGGTTGTGTTCCCATCTCTTTGTCTTGTCCTGGCTCAGCTTTAGAAGTGGGCACTTGGGGGCCCAGTGCAATGGCGCAGTGGTTAAGTCCTCGCCTTGCATGCCCAGGATCCCATGTGGGCACTGGTCCTAGTCCCGGCAGCCCCGCTTCCCATCCAGCTCCCTGCTTGTGGCCCCGGAAAGCAGTCCAGGACGGCCCAAAGCTTTGGGACCCTGCACCCACATGGGAGACCCGGAAGAGGCTCCTGGCTTCGGGTTGGCATAGAATCGGCTGTTGCACTCACTCGGGGAGTGAATCATTGGACGGAAGATCTTCCTCTCTGTCTCTCCTCTCTGTATATCCACCTTTCCAATGAAAATAAAATAAATCTTAAAAAAAAAAAAACCAAGAAGTGGGCACTTGGAATTTGAATCAAATCAGTGGATTAGAACTCTTTCTGGAGCCCAGCGTGGTAGCCTAGTGGCTAAAGTCCTTGCCTTGCACACGCCAGGATCCCATATGGGCACCAGTTCTAAACCAGGCAGCTCTGCTTCCCATCCAGCTACCTGATTGTGGCCTGGGAGGGCAGTCGAGGATGGCCCAAAGCCTTGGGCCCCTGTACCTGTGTGGGAGACCCAGAAGAGTTTCCAGGCTCCTAGCTTCAGATCAGCACATCTCTGGCTGTTGCGGCCACTTGGGGAGTGTGAATCATCAAATGGAGAATCTTCCTCTATGTCTCTCCTCCTCTCTGTATGTCTGACTTTGCAATAAAAGTAAATAAATTTTAAAAAAAGAATTCCCTCTGCCCCTCAAAATAGATTTGTAATGGAATGACGATAAATATTCATTGATACGCAAATAATCATTGCCACCAATTCAAATGAAGAAAAACACCATTCTCAAATTATTGAAATAGAAATCAGATTTAAGTAATAGTAGTTGATGTCTTAAAACAACTCAAAGTTCAGTCCTTATTGACCATTATCATAAATTGACCATATAAATGAACAGTTATCTATGAACTATAAAGTGTCTTAGTTTACATTTGTTATTTACAAGGAAAAAGTTTGAGCTCTTCTCACCCTGGAAACTTTGCCTGGCACTGTGAATAATGTGATGAGCAAAAATATACCTGGTCGCTGCTCTCCTAGAGTTAGATTAGATTGAGAAGGCAGACCCACAGGAGCAGGTGAAAGATGACTGTGATAATTGCTATGACAGTACTACAGGTCTCCTAGGAATTTATAATAGAAGGGATTGAACTTGGAGGGCAGCTGGAGATCCCAGGGACTTCAGGTGTTCCTGAAGCTATCAAAGCTGAGATCTGAAGAAAGAAATTAAATAGAGGAGAAAGGCTTAGAGCATATTGATAATGTGGGAGGCAGGTGCAAGTAGCAGTGTATGAGAAAGCCTGTGGTTTGGGATGATGAGATGCTTTTAAGTACTTGACAAAAGGGCTGGCATTGCCAGAGCTGAGATGTTAAGGAAGGTAGCTGGAGAAGTAAGCCAGGAACCGCTGACACAATCTTGGATAGCCCGGTAGGATTTTTTTGTTTTGTTTTTAATTTGAAGCAATAGAAAGCAGGGAAGCTGGGGGGATATGTGTGAAGTGACATGACCAGATATTTGTTTAAAGAAATCAAGTCCTTGTGGCTATTGCAGGAAGAATTGATGGACTTTAAGTCTTGTCAATCTCTGGAGTCCAGGAAGGGAAGAGTTGCTTCTGTAAGCCTGTGTTGTTTCCTACTGGAGTCAGCTAATTTACATTTTACACATACTCACACATTTAAGATGCTCAAGTACGGAATTCATTAAGTAACTCTTTTATCTTGAACATTTAGTCATTTCTTAGATTTTCACACAGAAGATTATGGCAAGGCAAAAATACTCATTTCAGGATGCTCAGTTTAAATTTAGCTGTGATAAAATGTGTTCCATTCATTGAGGAGTGAACATTTGACCATCTTGTGTTGCTGGAAAAATGACATAAAAGTTATCTGTGGACATAAGCCATAAATTCAACAGTATCTGATGAGTTTTTATTTTGATTTCATTTCATCTAGATAAAGATAAATATATATCCTTTATGTTGTCACTTTTTTTATGATCATCTGATCAAGTCTGCATTGTGCATCTATTCCCTTACAGCTAATGCAAGAGTTAAAAAGCAAAGATATCAGCAAGACGTTCCGGAAAATCATTAACAAGCGGGAAGGGATCACTGCTATTGGAGGAACATCATCCATTTCCAGTGAGGGGACACAGCATTCTTATTCAGGTAACCTCCCCCTCCACATTTGGTCTTTTAGTTATCAATTGCTTTCAGAAGTACTAGATTTCATCACATGTGTGATGTTATTTACTTATGATTCATCATATTAATAGTCGTGTATAACTGAGGGAACATGTGCCGCAGAGTAAATCACAACATACCATCCAATTTGAAGTACATCTCACCTTCAGAGATGACAAAAGGGAAAATATTTGAATTGCTGAAATCAGTGAGTTCCCATTATGTGTCAGGTCTGGTGCACCTCAAAGACTAAAGTTGTTTGTATTTTGGCACTGGAAGTGTTTCATCCTGCTGTTTGAATGGCTGTTTGAGCCTGACTAGTGAGGCATTTGATTTTTAGACTTGATCTGGGAACGAGAGGCTTCTACCTTCTAAGATTCTATCAGGCCACCAAGTGACCAGAGAGAGAGAGAGAGCACGGGATGTCATTTGCTTGATCTGATAGGACCACTGGGTGGTTGCACAGTGGGAAATGCAAAGTCATGGTCACTCTTAGGATGAGATGTCTTGCACCATGCTAAGCTTACCTTCCACGTCAATAGGTCCAAGAACCTTTGGCCAAAGTATTTTTATTCAGATGCATGCAATTAGAACTGTGCTTATTAAATTTTTTTTTGACAAAATGTTCTGTCTTCTGTCTTCTTTCTTTTCTGTTTGATATCTGAATCTGTTAGTCATCCTCATGAGTCTCTTCCTTCCTCATTGGATTTTCCCCTGGCACACTCAATTTCCTCCCAACCATTGTGTGTGTTTCCTAAACTTTTCACCTGCAGGAAGCAATAGTAAAAGGCCACGGCCTATAATTTGAAATAGAGTCATCCTTTAATCTCAATTTCTGCTTCTGTATTCTGATGAAATGGCTTCTTGTTAAAGAGACAAAAAGAAAAAAAAATGTGGAGGTATAATAGATGTCTGTCAAAGTGCTGTAATGCTGAGTATATAGATCAGTGTCTTTTTACATGGATGTGTATCCGTCTGCATATTCATGGAGCTACCAGCCGCGAAATGGAGATATGGAAGAGCCTGGTGACTTGCTCATGCCCCTAACCCTAACCCTTCTGTTCTCCAGAGCTAACCACTTTTCTGTTGTCTCGCCCCTTGTTTATAGACATGTAAGATACACCTGGTGAAGACATAAACTGCACTGTTCTGGGGCACCTGGATTTTCCTCTGGCATACTCCAAGTGCTATGATAATATTCCACTTATGAATTTGCCAGTGTAGCCATTACCTAGCAGAATATTGAACTTTTTGAAAACAGCAGCTTTATTGAGCTATAACTGCTATACCATGAAATTTGCCCTTTTAAACCGTACAGTTCAGTATGATTATTGTGCAGCTCTCATTGCTGGTGAATTCCAGGATCCTTTCACAAAGGAGACGCCTCATACTGGTTAGCAGTCACTCCTGATTTCCTTCCTCGTGGGAGCTGAGGAGGCATTATTTTACTTCCTGTTTCCCCAGATTTGCCTCTTTTAAGAGTTTAATATCAATGGACTGCTTCTGTGGGTTCTTTCTATTTGATCGGCTACTTCACTTGTGTACTTCACTTTTTCCCCACGGGTTTATTTTATTTTTTTTTTTGAAGATTTGTTTATGTTTATTTGAAAGGCGGGTTTTACAGAGTGAGAAACAGAGATAAAGAGGCCATCCATCCCTGCTTCACTCCCCAGGTGGCCACAACAGCCCGAGCTGAGCTGATCTGAAGCCGGGAGCCTCTCCCAGGTCTCCCACGTGAAGGTACTCAGGGCTTTGGGCCATCCTTTGCTGCTTTCCCAGGCCATAATCAGGGAGCTGGAATGGAAGTGCAGTGGCTGAGACACCAAACTGGTACCCATACGGGTTGTTGGCACTACAGAGTGGAGGCTTAGCATGCTGTTTCAACATGCTGGCCCTTCACTGCTGTATTTTCAAGGGTCATCAGTGTTGTAGCAGATTTTGTGCCTCATTATTTTAAATAGATGGATAGCCATTGTATGGAAAACAGCACACTTGCTGAACCTTTCATCTATTCATGGGCATATGGATTGCTCTCACTTTCACTGTTAGAAAGAGTATTGTGTGGGGGCCTGGTGCACTAAAGTCCTAGTGGCTAAAGTCCTTCCCTTGCACACTTGGGATCCTAAATGGGCACTGGTTCGTATACTGGCTGCTCCACTTCCTATCCAGATCTCTGCTTATGGCCTGGGAAAGCAGTCGAGGATGGCCCAAAGCCTTGGGACCCTATACCAGCATGGGAGACCCTGAGGAAGCTCCTGGCTTCTGGCTTCGTATTGGCTCAGTTCCCGCAGGTGTGGTCACTTGCAGAGTGAATCATCAGATAGAAGATCTTCCTCTTGGTCTCAGCTCCTCTCTGTATATCTGACTTTCCAATGAAAACTAAATACATCTTAAAAGAAATAATGCTGTGTGAACACTATACACATGTTTTTGTGAGGACATGCTCTGAATTTTCTGAGGTATATATTTAGGAGGGGAATTGCTAGGTCCTCTGGTAAGTCTGTGTTTACAATTTTAAAGACCTGCCAAACTGTTTTCCGACTATGGTAGTTCTAAGCTTTTATGCCCTCAAGAACACTTGTTGGTGCGCAGCTTTTCCAGAGAGCCATTGTAATGGTTCTAAGTATCTTTTTTGAGGTTTTCTCCATTCTCTCACAGCTTAACCAACAAAAAATCCATGCTATAAGTACTTGCTCTTCCACGGTGCCATTCCTTAGTTATTTCCACCAGAAATGATTATTTCTTTCTTTATGTTCTTAAAACACTGCATAGATGAGTGGGGTGTATGCTTCCTTTTTGCTGAAATTCCTTGTATGTCTGCTTGACTGTGTGTGTGTGTGTGTGTGTGTGTGTGTGTGTGTGTGTGTGTGTGTGTGTGTGATAGATTAAATTTAGAGAGGACTTATCATGGATTCCCTTAGGAAAGTTACCCAATTCTGGGAACTAGAGTAAGAGTGGGATAAAGCAACTCACTATCTGCTACTCTCTGATGGAAATGGAGATGAATCACTTGGAAGATTTAGGTTGCTAAATTGCTTTTTATGTATATGATAGCATTAAAACATAAAACATTGTGCTTTATAGTCTTTGCTGTTTTTCCCATGGAACTGTCCAACATTTTCTGTCTGAAGTGCACAGTCCAGGATCTAAGTTTGCATTGATTTTCTTATAGTGAATGTTCCACACAAATGATGTTTCTCTAATCACTGGCGTAAGCCTTGCTTGAATTAGGTGTTTAATTGTAAACTAAAAAAAAAAAAATTATAGTTCTCTGTAATTTGAGAGGGTAAAATTCATTGTGATGGATATTTGTTTTGTTACTTTTCCTTATTTTGACTTCTGATGGTCTTTACGGTCTTTATCTGCTTTATTAGCTTTCATAAGTTATACATATTGAGAAAGAGTTTAGCATCTAATTGAATATTATGTTCATTTAAGATACAAGCCTTACTCTTCCCTAATAATTGGATGGAAAAATAGAATTGATCCCTACTCTTCTTTCACCTAAATCCTTTATCAGTAGAGATTTAATAATAGTCACTAATTTGAACAAAAATTTTAAAGTATGTTTTTGTAGTGTGGTATATTTTATGAAATGAGCTTTGCCTGCAATATTTTGTTTGTTTCAGAGGAAGAAAAAGTGGCTTTTGTGAACTGGATAAACAAAGCCCTGGAGAATGACCCTGACTGTCAGCACCTGCTACCCATGAATCCCAATGACAACAGCCTTTTCAAGTCACTCGCTGACGGCATCCTTCTTTGGTGAGTGCAGCGTCAAGTGAAGGGAGCTGTGTTCTTATCGCCCCCAATTCACAAACATTCCATGAAGACTGCAATTGAGGAGCCCATGTTGTGGCAGAGGGGTTCCTCTGTCTCTCCTCCTCTCTGTATATTTGACTTTCCAATAAAAATTAATAAATCTTGTTTTTGAAAAAGGAGGCAGAATACAACTACAGTGAGAAATGGATGTATATTAGAATAGGGAATTTTAAAATTTAAATTTAAATTTAATTTAATTTAAAATTATGGCATGATTCCATAGGATCTGAGATTTTTCTGCCTCCTTCCCAAATTCCTACCCCAAGACTGATTTTCCCCGTATTACTACAATAGTATAGTCCTTCATAAGCAGTCATAAGCCCATCAGTTTGTTATTTAAGTGTATCCTGACATTGCTGGTACAGACAATGTCAGACAGTCTAGCATCCCGTTGTCTAGATATGTCCAACAATTTCAATGGGAGTCCATCTTTGATTTGAAAGTAGGGATGCATACTGCATTGAATCTTCACATCTGGATCTGATAGTCTCATTTACATTGTCACTATCCATTCCCTTAAATGGGAAGCTGCAAAACAAAGTCAACAAAAGGAATGAAGTTAAAACAAAAAATTCACAGCACCATGGAGCTGGAAAACACGCCATTGAATAGCCAGTGGATGGATGAAGAAAAGAAAACAAAAAAGCCTCATGGATAAAATGATGTCATTGTGCGATCCACGAGCCATTGATGAATTCTACAAGAGAAAAGAAACTATTTAGAAGAAATGAAAATAAAACAAAAACATCAAAATACATGAATTGCAGCAAAAACATTATGGAAAGCGTTATTGATGTTACAATTTGCCATGAAATCTGCCTTTACCAGAGAGAACATGTGGTATTTGTCCTTTTGGGATTGACTTATTTCACTGAGCATGATGGTCTCTAGTTGGGACTGTCTAGTTCCAAATGGTATAACTTCATTCTCTTTAATGGCTGAGTAATAGTCCAAGGAGTAACTGTACCACCGTTTCTTTAACGATTCCTCTTTGGATAGGCATCTGAGTTGTTTCCATGTCTTCGCTGCTGTAAATAAAGGATCACAGATTAAGATTTTAAATATTGATTTTCAGTAGTGAATTATAGTTTAATATTTAAAGAAATGATTTGTAATTGTTTTCCAAAATTTATCTCTTGACTGTTCAGAAAAATAAACTACAACTACTTCTATGAATATTAAGTGAAATTTTCATTTTCTCTTTAGCAAAATGATCAACTTATCTGAACCAGACACAATTGATGAAAGAGCCATTAATAAGAAAAAGCTCACTCCTTTCACTGTTTCTGTAAGTATTTGCCTTCTGTTAGTGCTCATGATACCTTATTGCAAAATGTAAGGCCTGTGTTCATGGCTGTTTGGGTCCATATCAAATTTTGATTTGATGTCATTTTACTTTTCTATAGTAATGTTGTATTTGTGCTAAATAAAAATTTAGCTGCATGTTATAATGAAATTAAAATTCAAAACTAGGTACTAGTCACACTATGTGAATTATCCCCTTGACTACTCAGCAAAATATAAAAAATTATGATTTTACAAATGAGGAAATTGAGGCATTGATAAATTACCCAGTGTTAGAGCTGTGTATGATCTGAAGGTCGCCAGGGCTCATCCTTTATTGCGATGCTATTATGGTTGTGTTAATGATAGTGGCAGCAACTAGTATGTGGGCACAATAATGGTTATTAAAATTGAGCTACTGCTAGGCTGTTGCCTTCCTTTGGAAAATGTAATTGTTGGTTTTGTTAAAAATGTTTACTTTTTTGTAGGAATCTAGGGCCTTAGGAAATAGAAGTACATGGTTTGTCATGAAACATACGACAGAAACTTCCTCTGGTTTCTCTCATCCGTGAGGTGTACAGAATGCCCACATGGCTTTCTTGCCAGCCACCCTTGCCAATAGGCCAAGGTTGTTATACATGGCTACTGAAATTACCATTCTATGATATTTGCAATACAATGAACATTTATCTGAAGAAACCTAAAGAACCTAAAGAAACCTAAAGAAAGAGATTGTAAGATTATGATGATATACTTTATCTTTTCATGATAAATTTATGTGATATCATGATGTATGAAAGAAGAGAAAGATAAAAGGATGAAAATGTTGGGACTGGTGTTGTGCAGCAAGTTAGGCTGCTGCTTGTGGCAATGGCACCCTATCCTGGAGCACCTGATTGAGTCCTGATACAGCTCCTTATTAATGAACCTAGGCAAGTAGCAGAGCTGGCCCAAGTACTTGGGTCCCTGCTACTCCAGTGAGAAACCCCAGTGGAGCTTCAAGGCTCCCAGCTTCAACCTGGGGTCATGACCATTTGGGGGTTGAGCCAGCAGATGCAACATTTAGTTTCTGTGTGTGTGTGTGTCTTTTGCTGTCACTCTGCCTTTCAACTACATAAAAACTATAGCTTAAAAAAAAAGTGTTATACACTAGTTACAAAATCAAGGCAGAAAAACTGATCAAGTAGTTCAGAAAAAGGTGCATTAATGATCCTGAAGTCTTTCTCATCTTTTTCCTTTTTACTCAATTAAACTGCACAGTCATATTTGTTTAACTGAAAAATAATTAATTATAAGAATAAGTTTACAGAACATATGGTATTGATTTGGGAACCTATAAATCAGGAAATCAGCACATGATTGCTATGAGAAATTGATTCTATTCTTATAGCATGTTAAAATATGCTACAAATATGGTGACAACATACAAAGTAAATGTATGTATATCTTATAACTATACATTTATACAAATGTTGACACACTTCTGTGACCTAAATTTTACCTTATATACGATTATAGTTTAAGAACGGAAAGCATTCTAAATCTCATTTGAATATGTCTCATGGAGCAACAGTTATGTGTAAAATAACAATCGTGACTTTATTCGTACTAACCTAGTAGTATAGCATACCTGTTAAGAATTATTAACAAAAGTGTAGCAATCTGGAGATGGACATTTATGGGGAATGGGTATTTTCAAGGTGCTGTAAAATAAGGGGTATATATCTGAGATGGTAGTAAATTGGCTAGTTAATTGACATGGAAGGGACATGGGAAGGCATCTAAAATCATGGTATAAATTTTTCTCCCTGGTGAGGTGGGTTTTGTGTTAAGCAGTCAGTTCACTGATGCATTATGAAAGAATAGAAGAGAATGAATGGATAATCCCAGGTTGTTTCTTGGGTTGTCCTCTGCTACTTTCCAAGGCCACAAACAAGGAACTGGAAGGGAAGCAGGGCATCTGGGACATGAACCAGCACCTTGTGGGGTCTCAGGCACGCAAGGCGAGGACTTTAGCCACGAGGCTACCACAATAGGCTCTCAGCTTACTCTTAAAATTCTTTCAAGTGCACATACATTTAAAAAGAAATGCTTCTGGGCCCGGCGCGGTGGCACAAGTGGTTAAAGGTCCCGCCTTGCACGCCTGGGATCCCATATGGGCGCCGGTTCTAATCCCGGCAGCCCCGCTTCCCTTCCAGCTCCCTGCCTGTGGCCTGGGAAAGCAGTCGAGGACGGCCCAAGGCTTTGGGAACCTGCACCCGCGTGGGAGACCCGGAAGAGGCTCCTGGCTTCGGATCGGCATAGTATCGGCCCGTTGCGCTCACTTGGGGAGTGAATCATCGGACGGAAGATCTTCCTCTCTGTCTCTCCTCTCTGTATATCCGCCTTTCCAATAAAAAATAATAAAAATAAATCTTTTTTTTTTTAAAAAAAGACATGCTTCTAAGTGGGGATTTTTATAGGAAAAAAATAATTTGCTGAACACTAATAAGCTGACAGTATTAGAAATTTCTAAAGGAGTGTGCTATTAAAATATATTGATATGTCACAATATAGCCTGAAATTTATTCTCCTTTGTCCTAATTTTTATGTCTATGTGTCTTGTTATGAAAATATAGGGAAGAGACATGATTCAGGGAAACCTTCGTGAGGGAATTGGTGCGTGATTTGAGGAAAGAAAAATATGAATCAAAGGAGAAAGAATCTTCTGTGTTTGCTGAAGCATAGACTGTTTTTGTAGGATTTTGGGAGAAGTCAGAGGAACAGTTTGATTGTTCTATGAAGAATTTGCACTTGATCCTTGTTTTTCTCTTCATGCCTTCTTCAACTGTTACTCATTAATCTTTTTGTTCAGTGTATACTGAGCATATGCCATATGCCTGAATGTCTAGAAAACAGCCCCAAAACAAATAAAAATCATCACACTTGCACAGTGCTTGCTGTTAGATGAGGAAGATGTCATAAAATAAATAATGTGACAGAAAATGGTAGATGGTAGACTTTTAGTGCAGCAGAAGTTTTTTTAAATGAAGTTTTATTTATTGGAAAGGCAAATAAAAAGACACACAGAGACACTCAAGTTGGATCCGGTGGTTCACTCCCCAGATGGCCTGCAAACAGCCAGAGTGGAGCCAGCCTTCATTCAGAAGGCATACGTCCATCTGGGTCTCTCCTGTGAATGTCAGGGATCTGACTGCGTGGCCCATCCTCTGCTGTCCTGTCAGGCATGCTGGCAGGAAGCTGGACTGGAAGCACAGCTGTCAGGAGATAAATCAGACAGTCCAATATGGAATGTGGGTGTTCCATCACACTGGTCTCTCCATGTGATTTGTGGGGCATTTTGGATATATAAGTCTGAAATTTCTGCACCCCACTATTTCTGAAATGGACCTTAGGAAGTAGTTCCTCATGTGCATTTTTTTTCTTTTGGCAATTTAGGAAAATTTAAACCTGGCCCTAAATTCTGCCTCTGCCATTGGTTGTACAGTGGTCAACATCGGTGCCCAAGACCTCAAGGAGGGAAAGCCTCACTTGGTCTTGGGACTTCTTTGGCAGATAATCAAAGTCGGTCTTTTTGCTGATATTGAGATCTCCAGAAATGAAGGTAAGCTCCTCGAAAACATTTACCTTTCCTGGGCACGTCTTCCCACTGGGCAAAGTTGACATCTGACTATTTTGCTTTCAGCTTTGATCGCCTTGCTGAACGAAGGCGAGGATCTCGAGGAGCTCATGAAGCTTTCTCCTGAGGAGTTGCTGCTGCGCTGGGTGAACTACCATCTGACCAATGCGGGCTGGCGGACCATCAGCAACTTCAGCCAAGACATTAAGGTTGCGATGTCATGTGGGAATGTGAAAAATAAGGATGTAGAATGTAATAGTTAAATGGCAACCTTAACTTGAATTCACAAAGACACATGGATTAGAGAATGAAAATTAGTGTTTCTCTGTTTGAAGAAAATATTCCAAATGATATTCACAAAATCTTTAAAAAATATTTATGCATTTTTTTGGAAGTCAGAATTACAGAGGCAGAGGGAAGCACAGGGAGAATGAGGGAGACAGCTCGCCTGCAGGCGAGGTCCTCCATCTCCTGGATCACTCCCCAGATGGCTACAGTGCTCAGCGGTAGGCCAGGCTCAGACTTCATTGAGGTCCCATGCTGTTTTTTCTAGACCATTAGCAGGAAGTGAGATTATAAGTGGAGCAGCTGAGATATAAACTGATACCCCTATGAAATGCCAGAGTCACAAATGGCAGCTTATGTCACACCACAATGCCAGTCCTCCCATAAATCTGTTCTAAAAAATAAATGGATTTGTTGACTGTTCCTAATAACAGCAGCTGGTTGTGAGAGGCAGCAAGTGTTGACCTCAACAAGCTATTCTTCCTGTTTCATATGCCACAGGCACAGTCAACTGTAAGAAGGATGTCAATTTGTTAATTAGGACTGAGAATTCTCTCTGTTTACTGAACTGGAGGCCCTTGGGGGTCTGCCCAGTTACCAATCTTACTTCAACATGGCCAGTAGCCAGTTAACTGGCCAAATTCTTGAAAGGTGTATGTAATCAGTACACAAAGAGGTTCTTAAGGTATGTTTGTCCAAATAGATTAAAATACTTCCCTCTCTACTGAGACAATCCTGTCAAGGAAACCATAGCATTCACTACTCCATGTAAGCTGTTCTGCCGTCCTTACTGCCAGGATGGTGCTTGCTAAACCGTCCCTGTAGCAGAGGGTATTCCAAGTTACCATAGGAGAGGGTATTCCATGTGCAGGGAGCAGTGTTACAAGAAGCTCTGAGGTGTGAAACATGCTGTCTGAAGGCTCTGAGGTGTGACTTAGCATATTGCACTAGGAACCTACCAGAATTCTGTATTACTGAAGTAAAGTTTTGAAGTTGTTATTCCATCCTTTGATATGGAAGAGATTTTTCTCCATTTCAGGGCTATTTTCTCCCCGCTAAACTCAATGACTTTGTTTTTTTCACTTAAAAATGAAGTTTCTTATCTTTCCTGGTAGGATTCAAGAGCCTATTTTCATCTGCTTAATCAGATTGCACCAAAGGGTGACAGGGATGATGGACCTGCTGTCCCCATTGATCTTTCAGGATTTAATGTGAGTGTCCTTTCTTTTTTCTCTTTTTTTTTTAGTAAATTGTAGCAAAATGTATGTAGCATAACATTTGCCATTTACCATTCAGTTGCACCTAGTGTGTTCACATTGTAGAACTATCACAGCTGTCTCTAGAACTCTCTCATCATCCACTCTGTATCTCTTCTACAGTAACTTCCTATTTCTCCTCTAACCACTGATAATCACTGTCCTATTTATGACGGTGAATTGTTGAACCAATGCAGTGAAATTTACAGTAGAATTTCTTACAGGCAGAATTTCCTGGCAAAGTCCTCAGCCCTTTGTTAAAGCTTAGTCCTTCGCCTTTCAGAAGTTTTCTCATACTCTAGGCTCCATGTGTGCCTGCTTCGTCATCTGACTGTCACGGCTGAAGAAAGAGAGTTGCAGAATTCTGACTTTAAGTGTTGTGTGGAATCAACCCAGCATTCACATATGCCTGGTGAAAGGCCTAAGGAACCAAGGTGCTTTGATGACTGTGAAGCTGTGCAGGAAAGGCTACTGCAAGCTGGTACTAGGTTAACCAGCACGTGATGAGCAGACCGACTAGTTCTCATTTGGAAATAAATTGGCAATTCCCAATTATTACCTTGTAGAAGGACTAACACAGATCCTGTTCCACATAGCGCAATTCCTGAGAAATCTGTTCTTTTAGCTTAGACTGTAAACACTAAGAATAGTTCTATCTGAATGTTAAAACTGTGTTTAGATAGTATGAAAATGTATTAAGCACTTAGGCATAGTATTGGCAATTTTTGATTTTGATGACTATTTGAGTCAAATGCTAAAAAATTTCACATTATTACAATGTATTATCTCAGAAACGTCGTGTTGCAAAACTATACATTTACTAATTATTTTAAATTAGAAAATTGGGAATTAAATCTTAACAAAAAATTTTAAATACACTTCAAAGTGAATAGATGTAGTTTACTGAACTACCATGTGCCTTTCCCTAGAATGCACTTATTTCATTTATTCCCAACCTATGTCTCCTCTTTTCTGTATTATTTTGAGGCAAACTAATCATTTTACCTGCTTGATAAATATCTCAAAATGTGTTTCTAGAAGATAAGCACTTTTGCTATATTACTTTATCATGCCTCCAAATTAGCAATATTTTGATTAATGTCAAAATATCTAGCCAACACTGACATTTCCAATCGTCTCGTAAATGTCAAATTTTACTTTCAGAGTTTATATGAAACAAGTTTAACATATGGCTATCTTGACAAGGTTTCATTGTTGCTTAGTAGCACTCGATCTATTGTTTTATTCTAGTCACATTTCTTATTTGCTTGCAATTCTGATGCACAGAATTAGATGGGTGATAATCCTTGGTTAGGATATACTCTCATCATGGGTCCATGCAGCTGCTTCTTTTTACTTATTTGTGTGTGTGTGTGTGTGTGTGTGTGTGTGTGTGTGTGTGTGTGTCTGTGTGTGTGTTTGTACATGAATCTTCACTATCACAAAAATGTAAGAGGTTGACATCACTGTACATGTGGCTGTGTTGGTCTTCCCTATTCCATCTCTCTGTGTCACCTCACTGTGGCTGCCTTCACCTTGAGTCTGCTGTTCATTGTTCTTTGGCTTTTCTTTTTCTATAATTTGCTTCCATTAAGATGTATTTTTTTTTGCAAAATTAAATTGCTAAGTTTACTTTCTGAATATCACATTGTATTTAGATTTATCGTACTTCATTTTAGATGTATTGTATACCATTGTGTGGGCTATAACCCATTCATTTGTCTATGGGATATGTACCCAGGGCTTAGTAACTTTACTAGTTTTATGTATGTCCCATCTTAATAGATGAAAAGCATCTATTAGAAACAGTGCTTGATATAGAATGGGTGAGACAACTACACCTGTTATCTGGAGGGCACTCTATTAGATGGCCTTGTAAAGTTACCTGTCATTTGACCAGTGGGAGCTTACTGATATGCTATTTGAGAGTTTTGCTGAGTATGTTAGTGATGAGGCTGTAATACGACCCTGTGATGGCTGCAGTGAAACTCAGAGACTTGTTCTGGCTGATGTCAGAGAACATGGAGCAGATTGGTTGTCCCTGCACAGTCTGACATTGAGTTACTCTTTGAGATACCTGCAGAGAAGTAATTGCTTTTGTACATGTCTATCACTAAAAATAGATGTATATATATGCCAATCAAAAACTTGACCATTCTGGTTTTATTTCATTGTTTAGGAGAAAAATGACCTGAAGCGTGCTGAATTCATGCTTCGAGAAGCTGACAAACTGGGCTGTCGACAGTTTGTTACTCCTGCCGATGTGGTTTCAGGCAATCCGAAACTTAACTTGGCCTTTGTAGCGAATCTGTTTAATACGTATCCATGTCTATACAAGCCTGATAATAACGACATCGATATCAACTTATTGGAAGGTATGTTCTTTCTGCCTTTCCAGACCCTCTGTATTGACTGCACTCCACTGTTGGAGGAAGAGGATTGTGGTAGGAGGTGAAATTTGCTGTACAGGCATGTGTGTCCATTAAAAAGTTCAAACTACAGAAAATAGTTGTTGATTTAAGTGAAGGAGCTATTGGGGTAAATTTTGCTGCCTTTTCTCTGAAGAGTTTACTGAAAACTATCAGACATTTAAAATATTCTTTTAATTGTAACAACATAATTGACAACATTGGCAATGAATTTATCTATTGGAAAAAATAGTTATTTGTAGCTTTTTTCTCCTTTGACTCCAGTATTGTTCTCTTTTTAATATTTTTGATGTAAATGAAAATTATAGTATTCAATACTTGGCTTGTGTGTTGGGCTATCATTATCTGTCTCATAACATATAATACTTTCCTGTTTTGCTCCATGAAATGCAGATTTGACCCCTCCTAATGTAGGTACTGTACTTAGTACTTTTCTTTACTCTATTCGTATATTCATTCTGAATGTTTTTATCACTACCATTTATTCTTTTGACCTGTATTAATATTTATTTTTTGCGTTGTTCATGCTGTGTTATCTCTGTCTTAATATGCCTGTAGAATGAATTAAAACAAGCAAGAAGCACAAATGAAGCTTAATTAAAGAGAAAGGCTTTAATTATAAAAATTATGTTATTTGCCTTCTATAATGATGGGATGTTATAGTTGCAAACACATTAGAAATCAATTTTGACAACTGGGCTTCATGATTTGATGTTAAAGCCTCAATCCCTCTCCTGAGATTCAATTTAAATTTTCTCACAAGTCGTTTTTGAAAGGATCAATTTAGGTTCCACGACAAATTATTTTGTATCATTTTCTTACATTACATCGAAGGTTACAGTATATGAATTGTCATAATAAGAGTGATGACACTTTCAATGTCAAGTTGTTTCTCCTTACCTCTTGTTTCCCAGTCTCTCTTCCTCCCACCCACCCCCGTCCTTCTCATATCACGCATAGTTACGACCGTGATGGTATTGAGACCAACAATAAAACTGATGATGGCAGCTGTCAGAAAGAGAGGCCAGTCCTAGTATTTTCTCTCGAGTTCCTCCTGTTTGCAAGAGGCAGCCCTCAAGTAGAGGCTGCTGTTCTTGGGGACAACTTGATGTTGTGATGTTCGTTCTCCTATACAACTTAGCCCCCGTTCCCTCCTCCGCAGTGAGACAGAATGAGAAATGAGTGTCATGATGTTTTTCCCTTTCACTGCCACACCAGAGTTCGAAGGGCCTTGGCATTTCATAATTTGTTTTCTAATTCCTGAAAGAAAGGTCAGCCTTAACAAATGTATTGAGGAAGAATGGTTAATTCAGTTCAGTCTTCCTGAGGTACAGCAAAATAAATACTAGAATCTGTGCCTAAATGTATATAAGGAAGGAAAAACAGACCGAAATAGGGACTTTTTTTTTTTAACAAGACAAATTTAGAGTGAGAGATAGATTTCTTAAAAATTAAATTAAAAGGTCACTGTTAAGTTTCTGACGGTCTAGAAAGTTTGAAAATCCTTTTATGTCTTACTATAGAAGGCATTGTTTAGAGTGGCATATTAAAAACGATCTGCTTTTTATAGTCACTGAATCCTTGCTAGATCTCTTTTCCAGCTTACTCGCTCTTCTATTTGTCATGTTTGAATTATTTTGCTAGTATTCAGCATGCTCTTGGAATTTTTCAGTGTGACTAGGATTGCTAAATATTTCCATTAGTATTTACTATATTTTATTAAGAAGATCCTATGGGAAATATTTATCAATCATTTTTTACAACATATGTATGTCCTGATATATCTGACAAAAATGTATTTGACTTTGGCTGTCAGAATATTTTCCCGCATAAATGTGCACTTCTGTGAATTTTGATGAAATTTGAAGCTTGGCTCTATCACATCCCAAATCCATGGATTAGCATGCCCTCTCTGGCAGAGATTTTTCTCTCTAGAGAATTTTTTTTAAAAAAAGTTCAGTTCTGTAATAAGCCTTTATATCCAGTTGAGCCAAATAATGAGCTTCATTTAGAAAAGCCTTTTCAGAATTAATTTTTGATGAAAGGAAACACACAGGCCACAGAATGAAAAAGACTGTTCAAATCATAGTTCTACCATTTACTATGTGAGTAAACTATGAGTGTTGGTTTACTCACTTGTATAGCAGGGCTAATGAAACATTTTGGAGAGTGCTCAGCAAGTTCAATGTGGTCCTGAACAAAAGTGTTTAAACGTGCAGTATGTGCTTGTTCCTGGTCAGGCCAGGAGGAAAGCTTACTATCACACAGCACGTTTGATGAATGTTGAGTACATCGGAGTTCCTTCTCTTTCCTCTTAGGTACCTGCGTTTAATATAATTGTTATTTTTCTTAAAGCTTTTGTCAGTCACAGATGTCAATTTGCCCCTGCAAAGGAATGTTGTGTAGTTCTGTCTTACATACCGGAGATTAAGTTGTTATGTCTATAATGGGTATCATTTTCTGCCATCCATATAGCATTTTCCAATCTGGAATACATATGTTTTTGTAATGCTTTCTCATAGCTCTTGCACAAATGCATAGTGCTTCTAGCTTTGAGCATTTATTTACCAAGATAACTTGAAATAGTGTCTGATAAATAAATGCTCACATAAAATAAATTTGCCTTTCCAGGTATTAAAGATTAAAATGATAACTGCATAATTAATAGGGAACAACAGGAGGAAATATGAACCTCTGCTGTTTATCAGAATGCAATATTAGTAGTGCCCTTATAAATAGTCACTGTAGCATCAGAAATTAGAGATCTTAGTTATATATTAAACCATTGTGACACTGTCAATCTTTGCAATCTTAAGGCATAGTTTAGATTTTCATAGCAGGAAATAACATAAAGAATTCTTTAATTACTACACCAAAAACACATATGTAGTAGTAGTAATACAGAAGTAGTAATGCATACGTCATGTTAGGAATGGTTCAGTGAATTCATATGTGCCTTGTAATAATTTCAGTAATCAAGGTAGGCAGGGATTCTAGGGATATTAGATCAAGTTAATGCTTTTTTACAAAGGTTATTCTGTGTACTAGTTATTATAGAGTGGTTGCAGCAAATACAGCAGATGGATTTGTTCCCTTTTATGAACGACCAGAGGAAAATCTAAGAAATGCATGGCTATATAATTTTTGCAGAAACAATCAAAGCAGACTCAGAGAAATCTGTTAGATGATGACTTCAAAACCTCCAGGAAACTCTGTTGGAAAGTTTTTCCTGAATCATTGGTGCAAGGATCAGAATCCTTTAGCACTGCAAGGTTTTGCATCTTATTCTGGGGATGCCAGCTTACAGCATCTGTGGCACTGGAGCGGAATAAGTATAGGAATGGACCCTGGAGCTCAAACTGATACATTGATAGGCCAGATTGTTCTGGGAGTCTCAAGTCTCCAGTGGCCAGTATTTACCTGTGGCTTAGAAGTGACTAGAAGGGTAAATCTTCCTCTGGGGGGAGACTGGTGACAGCAGAGAGACTTGGCATTCTGTTGTACCCTCACTTTGCTGAAGAACAAATGACGCTGTTATTGGCTGTCCCTCGGTGCTGCTGGCATTTGGGCAGGATAAGAAGGCAGGCATTGTGGTGCAGTTGGGCAGCGGGGGTTGGGGGGCAGGCCTTCCTGCTTGTGGTTACCAAGAGCCATGTTTTCTTTATACGTCGTGTAAACCCTGCTCTGAAGGAGCCACTCAGGGAAGCAGGGGGTGACAAAGTCACTTGTGCTGAAGACACGTGTCTTTCTCTCAGCACTCTGTGTAGAGTCAGTGTTCCAAACATATTTTCTTTTTCTTCCTTCTTTTTTTTTTAAGATTTATTTTATTTATTTCAAAGGCAGAGTCAGAGACACAGAGAGATTTCCTATCAGCTGATTCATTCTCCTAATGCCTGCAGTGGACAGAGCTAGGTTGGGCTGCAGTCAAGAGCTTTTTCTGGATCTTCCCTGTGACTGCAGGGGACCTAGCAATCGGGCCATTCTCTGCTGCTCTCCCAGCCACATTAACAGGGAGCTGGATAAGGATTTGAACCTGTTCCTATACAGGATGCAAGCACTGCAAGCAGCAGCTTAATTTACTGTGCCACAGCCCTGCAGCCCCACTCATGTATTTTCAACAGTGGCCATCTAAAATGACTCAGAAAGTCTGTGAAATAGTTACATCTTCCACTGCTTTTAGATGGCATGCATTCCAAAGTGTAGTTACGTGTGTCCAGAAGCTTTCCTACAAAAAGCCATCATCTGTACAAATTTAGTAATCCTGCATGGACAAATTAGAGTTTTCCATGATCTGTTTAACATGCACCTGATATCCTGACTACTGAAAAATTTTTGTTTTATTAATGTTAAATCAGTGCTTGTTCCATCCGATCATAGCTTGTAACTGTATCAGTTGTTCAGTTACATTTCTGAACTGTGAAAACCATGGCTCAAAAGTTCATAGGCATCAAGTAAAGGAATCTAGATGGAGGGATTTAAAGCAAGGCTAAGAGAATGAGACAAAGGGGACATTGGCAAGGAAGAGCTTCTTTTTTTTTCCTGTCCAAAGAAAATGTAGTATCCAAGGAACAATAGCTGCGTGATTTAAAGTGGTTCCTGACTCCTTTTGTTCTGAATCATCAGCGTGCATTTGTATCCTACTCCAGGAGAGAGCAAGGAAGAGAGGACCTTTCGGAACTGGATGAATTCCTTGGGGGTGAACCCCTACATTAATCATTTGTATAGGTAAGAGTTCTGTCGTATTCCAGCTTTACTGTCAGAGCCCAGTTGTTCAAGTTGCAAACTGTATGCGTGTTGACATGAAAACATTTTCTCAAATCACAAGAATTTTAGCTAACCTGTGATGCAGCTTCTGAGTGCTAGAACTTGGAGATGTGGTAGATTTTAAAGAAGAATATTATTTTAAAAGATAAGAGCATGGAAACGCTTAATTTTAAAAAGAAATCATCTGAAAGAGAGAAACAGAGATGGAAACAGATATAGACAGTGAAAACTAATCTTTACATAAGTATCTGCAATGGCTGTGACTAGATCTGGCTTAAAACAAAAGCCGTGATGCAATTCAGATCTCCAACATGGGGTCAGAGGCCAAGCAATTGCAACTGTGACCTGCTGCAATATATTTATTTAAAGATTTACCTGTCTGTTTGAAACACAGAATTACCGAGAGAGAGATAGGGAGAGAGAAAGAAAGAGATCTTCCACTCACTGGTTCATACTCCAAATGGCAACAAAAGCCAGGGCTGAGTTGATCTGAAGCTGTGAGCTAGGGGCTTCTTCCCAGGGAAGCTGTGAGCCAGGGGCTACATCCTGGTCTCCAACCAGGATACAGAGACAGAGCATATGAGCCATTCTCCACTGCCTTCCTAAGCACATTAGCAGGGAGCTAGACTGGAAGTAGAGCAGCCAAGAATCAAACAGGTAACCATTTAGAATGCCAGCATCTCATGCAGTGACTTACCCAGGCTTAATGCCAATCCCAACGGATTTTTAAAAAAGACTTATTTATTTATTTTTTATTGGAAAGGCAGAAGTACAGAGAGACAAGATACACAGAGAAAGATCTTCCGTTCATTGGTTCATTCCCCAAGTGGCCACAATGGCCAGAGTTGAGGTGAGCTGAGCTGAAGCCAGGAGCTTCTTTTGTTTCTCCCACTCAGGTGCAGGATCCCAAGGCTTTGGGCCATCCTCCACTGCTTTCCTAGGCCATATGTAGGGAGCTGGAAGGGAAGTGGGACAGCCAGGACATGAACCAGTGCCCATATGGAATCCTGGCAGATGCAAGACAAAGATTTAGACACTAGGCCATTGCACCAGGTGAAGACCCAAAAGATTTTAAGAACTACTAGTTCTAGGGCTTTTCTGTGACTGCTTCTCCTGTCTAAACCCTGGTTTTCCTATTTGCAGGACACAAATAGTAATACCACACTACATAGGAATAAGCATAAATTTTCGTAGCATGAAAAAGAAATAGTCATGAAAACGATGAGATTCTAGAGCAACTATTTTATGCAAAGCACTGCATGTGCTTACATATAACTTGATCAGGTCTTCATTACTTTTCATGATAGATTTCGCCCCTCCATCAGTCAACACAGGGCCCTGTCCCCTTCACTGCCAGTGTCAACGCTTTATGACTTTAATATAAACTTTAGCAAAACATAACTCAATGGATAAGCTATTGAATAAAAAATAAAAAAGGCCACATAATATTTTTCAGAACAAACAATTTAGAAAAGCAATTGCTATTACTTTATGTCCTGATCATATAGAACTGAAAAGACTTACTTTAAACTTCTTAGGAGAATGTAATTTTCTCAACCCAAAGTAGACTAGTATTCTTACTTTGAGAACTCCCACTTGTTCATAAATTCCTTCCTCTTAACCTTTATTATTGAACATAAACAACCACCTACTGAATAGCTGTGACTTTCCCGTAATTATTTCTGAAGTTTTTTCCTTTAATGATACATTAAGGTGGCTGGTATTGTGGTGGAACAGGGAAACCATTTGGGTGTTGGTTCATGTCCCTGCTGCTCCACTTTCCATCCAGCTCCCTGCTTGTGTATGATAAAGCAAATCAAATAGCCCTAATCCCTGGGCCCCTGCCCCTGCAGGGGAGACCCACTTGAAGCTCCTGTTTCCTGGCTTCAGCCTGACTCAGCCCTAGCTCTTACAATCATTTGAGGAGTGAAGGCAGTGGATGGCAGACCTCTCTGTCTCTTTCTCTCTCTCTCTCTTTGTGTCTCCCTCTCTCTATCTTTGACTTTCAAATAAATGAATCTTAATGATATCTTAAGTAATATACAAATCTATTCATTTTCACTGTATAAGTTTCAGAAGACATGTAAATAACACAACCAAATGAGCATTAGAGTTCTCCTTTTATGCCTCTCAAGCTAGATTTTTTCCTGTGTCGAGGTATTTGCTATGAGCTAGGGAATACATATAAGTATATGAACACATTAGACCCTAATGTTTTTAAAAGATTGGTTTATTTGAGATATTTAGAGAGAGAGCTTGAGAGAAAAACATAGAGAAGGAGCTCTGCCATCATCTAGTTCACTCCCCAAGTGGCCACAACAGCCAGTGATGGGCCAGATTGAAATCAGGAGCCAGGAACTTCTTCCAGGTCTCTTCCAGGGGTACAGAGGCCCAAGCATTTGGCTTTCTTCTTCTGCTTTCCCAGCCTCATTAGCAGGGACTTGTATCCAAAGTGGAGCATCCTAGATGCGAATCAGCACCCACATTAGATGCTGGCACTGTAGGCAGTAACTTAACTTGCTGTGCCACAATGCCGGAGAAAGACTAATATTTTCAAAAGTAGATTAGACCAAAGTATATGAAGTATTCAGCTACTTGCTTATTACAACTTGAGGTAACTTGTAAAACTTTTCATATCAGTGTGTATAGATCTACCTTATGTCTAATGGTAGCTCAGGAGTTCATAGCATGGAGAGTTTACTCAGCAGCATCTTTCTGCCAAAGATTTAAGTTGTTTCCAGATTTATAAATGCAGCTTGTAAATCTCTTTTATATGTACATGAGGGGGGGGGCTTCAAAAAGTTCATGGAAAATTCACATGTCCTAATTCTGTTTTCCACAAACTTTTTGAAGCCCTCCTTTTATCTTTGTATATATTTACGAGGAACTTTGAATGGAAGTTCTGTATCAAAGGATGTGTCCTGTCATTTTTAAGCAATTGGAAGACCGTGCCATCTCTGCTGTAACCTGGGGCAGCACCACCAGCAAAAACATTTACTCCTGCTCCCTCTGCTTCTCTCTCCTGTCTTAGTGACCTGGCGGATGCTCTAGTGATCTTCCAGTTGTATGAAATGATCCGAGTGCCAGTCAACTGGAGCCAAGTGAACAGGCCTCCTTATCCTGCTCTTGGAGGGAACATGAAGAAGGTGAATGACACCATGGCTATGGATGCTACTGTAACAGTAATGTTACTTTGGTCCTGAGAGTTTCCAGGAACTAGGTGACAGTCTAGTCTGTCTCCGTTTGACCCCAATTGTTTTGTTATTTTGCCTCAGTAAAATTTAGGAGGATAAAGAAATCCTCCAGTCAGACACTTGCTGTACCTGTTCCTTGAAGTGGTAGAACTTGATACACTGTTAGTACACTCTTTAGAATCACCGTAACTTGTCAGATCGTTACTGGGTATTCTTTTTGTGTGTCTGTTCAGCAGATGTTTATTAATTACCATGGTACACTGAGGAATCCCCGTACTTATAAAACTGTATCACGAATAATAATGAAAGTAATAAATACAAATCATGGAGTTAGTCCTAAGAAATTGCTAAGGATGTCAAGCAGATGTATTTGCAAGCAACAATAGAGTTCATCACGAGAACAGTGAATATTAGGAGTTTTAAGGAAGACAAGAACCCGGGCTGCACATGGCATGAACGTGCTTTGTTGAGGAGGTTGTATTTGAACCAGATCTTTAGAAGTGGATAAAATTTTGTCACAAAAAAAAAAAGTGGAAGAGAGGCTGAAGATAAAGAAAAGGGAGAGTTCTAGGAAAATATGAAATAGGGTTTAAAGGGTTTTTATAGTTAGGCAGTGAGTCTGAGCACAGTATTTGGACAGGGGCCAAAGGACCTGGTGTTTTGCAAGCTACAGGAAGCCATGGAATGTTTTGGAGGAGGGAAGTGATAGGATGACATTGGTGGGAGAATATCGGCTTGATGAATGTAAGCAGAAATGCTTGTTTCCTTAGTACTGCTCATCCTCCACCAAGCTTACTCTGCTGAACGACGCATAGATTTAGGCTTTGCACTTTTATTTTATCTTGTTCTAGGATGATTTACTTTCCAAAGTAAAAGAAACTCTGGCATTGCATCCAATTTTGGGATAAGTGTGTGTGGCTTTTAAAATTTATTTTTTTTTTTATTTGAAAGGAAGGTTTATATAGAGATGGAGAGACAGAGATAAACATCTTCCATCTGCCAGTTCACTCCCCAAATGGCTGCAATGGCCAAAATTCAACCAATCTGAAACCAGGAGCCAGGAGCTCCTTCTCCCATGTGTGTGCAGGGGCCCAAATCTCTATGCTATCCTCTATTGCTTTCGCAGTCCAGCTCCCTAACAGGGACTTGAACCAGCGTACATATGGGATGCCAGTGCTTCAGGCAGAGGATTGGTCTATTCAGCTGCCACTCAGGCCCCAAAATAAGTGTTTTTATAAACTTCCTACAATATGTTTGGTAGTGCATATCAGTAGCCTTAAAAAAATAATTTGATGAAATTATCTCACTTTTTAATATCTGTCTTGATGAAAAATCAGGAAGCTATCTGTGAAAATACTTCTCCTAGCAGTTTATAGAGCAAAGAAGAAAACTTAGGTTTTTTTCCTTTTTTCTCCCTCCCCCACCAAGGAAATGGCAGTCATTCTGCTTCTGACTTGTAGTTCTGTGAATGCAGCCTTCTAGCTTTGCTGAAGGCAGAGCTTGTGTCTTCCGGGTTGTGTTGCTGATATTCACAAGGTCTGAGCTCTAGAGACAGACGCTGAGGAGCGGTGTCTCGAGTCCCTTCAGGACAGCTGCCTTCGCCTCCCATCGGCAATCACGTAGTGCAGGTGCAGGATAGAGATTCTGCCCCCTCTCAAGTACATCTCATTTGTATCATTCAGTCTTTCATTTCAACAGCTACACGGTCTGTGTGAGGTGCCAGGAATATGTCAGTGAACAAAATAGACAGAACTCTTCCATCACCAGGCTTGTACTTAGTGGAGGGAGAAAGACAACAAGAAATGATTGACATATAATGTAGAATTAAACTGCATATAGATCATCAAACACTTTAAAAATGTATATTTAAAGTGGACAAATTTCATTTCCCATCCTACCTCCCTCCTGCCCATATCCCATCTACCCTTCTGCTTCCAAGTTTTTATTATTTTTTTATTCAGTATCTTTTTCAGTAAAGTGTTAGTTATGTATGATACACCCATAAGATGAAGTTAGATTGTGCCATTAGAAAGAGCGTTTTAGTAACAGTGATATGGAAGTGAGTAGGTTACAACATTGCATGTATATGTGATATGGATGTAATTTGTTTAAAACACACATGTAAATATGCTTTCAAAATGAACTGCAAGTCTTCCTCAATAATTCTAAAATGAACATTTATCTACAGACTTTTTAACTTTAAAAACCTTAAGATTTTAGGGGCCCATTCCATCATGCTAGGCCTCCACCTGTACTGCTGACATCCAATGTGGTCACTACTTTGAGTCCTGGCAGCTCCACTTCTGATCAAGCTCTCTGCTTGTGGCCTAGGAAAGCAGCAGGGGAGGGTTCAAGTCCTTGGCCTCCTGAACCCACATGGGGGACCCAGAAGAAGCTCCTGGCTCCTGACTTTCCATTGACTCATCTCTGGACATTGCAACCACCTGGGGAGTCAATCAATGGATGGTGTCCTACCTTCTTTCCTTCCTTCCTCCTTTGCTTCCTTATTCTCTTCCTCCCTCCCTTCTTTTCTTCTTTCTCTTTCATTAATTCTTTCTCTTTCGTTAATTCTTTCTCCTGTAGCTATTTTAGATAGAAATAAATCTTTAAAAAAATTTAAAAGGATATATATCATATTAAAAATAGTTAAAAGGGGGGCCAGTGTTGTGAAATAGTGAGCTGTGCTACCACCTGTGATGCCAGCATCCATATTGGAATGCCAGTTTGAGTGCCAGCTATCCCGTTTCCAATCCAGCTCCCTACTGATGCAGCTGGGAAAGCAGAATAAGATGGCCCACATCCTTGAGCCCCTGTACCTGAGAGACCTGGATGGAGCTCTGGGCTCCTGGCTTCAGCTTTTGCATCTCCAACCACCTAGAGAACGAAACAGTGGAAAGAACCTCTCTCTCATACTCTCTCTCTCTTCTCCTCCTCCGTATATCTGCATTTCATATAAATAGTTTAAAGTAATAAATAAAAGTAATATAATTATAAGAAATATACATACATATTTTCAGCATTTTCAGTGATTGGGTTGTCCACACTTGTTGTTTCATTTGATTTACCTGTACATATGCTTTTCATAGGAATAGAATTCAGCATACTTGGTTCCCTGATTCCATCTAGACCTTTTTTCTTCAAAGTTTCAGATGCAGTAGGTAACAGAAAAACAGCAATCATGCCATTCCCTCCACCTGGAATTTAAAATAGTGATTACAAAACAGAGATTACAAATGAGTCATATACAGAATGTTTCAGCCAATACTAGTTGTTTATAGAATGAAACATAATGCCTGAAATAAATTCAGGTTGTTTAAAAAATGAAGTAGATTTATTCTTAACACAGTATCATGAGGAATTATTTTACAGACTTTGGATAGTCACCAACAGGCATCACTTTGCTTCATTTGTAAAATTCATAAAACTGTACCACTAAATATCCAGCTTCATTAGTGTTTTAGTATTTCTTCTCGCACTCCGATGTCCTATTATGGAACTCTTCTCATGGTCTAAACGACCTTCACTGTTTTCCGAAGGATGTGAAGTGCTTGGTAATCATTTCTTCAGCTCACTCTCAGAGTGCACTCTGCCATGGTTTTCTTATATTGTTTGCGTTCATTCCTGCCTTTTTAAGGTTCTTCATCTTTAAGCCTGACAGCTCTAGGTATTTCCTAGTCTCCGTTCCTGGCTCTTTGTGTCCCTATTGATATCCTTATGGGACAGATCCATCCATTTCTAGCGCTTAAGAACTATTAAAAATATGGCTTACCTTCAGGAACCCCATTTCTTCTATTTCTTTCTCTGGTTTTCTACCTCTCCAGATCTTAGATGTGATATGCCAATTTTGGAACCAATTTTGGGGAAAAAATCCTTTCTTTAATGCCAATAACCTGTTCCCAGGTTAACTCTCTTTTTGGTCATCTTAGAGTCTTATTTTCTATACCAGCAGCTTTTTATTCCATTCTCTATTTTATCTCCCTTAGGAATTTAGGCTATGCTACCAAACAGCTGGTCTTTCCTTAAAACACTTTTTTTTTGGGGGGGGGGGCAAAAATTATTATGAAGGTCTGCTAGAAAATGTTTTCACTGAAGGTGGGTATCTGGAAGACATGCTGGCTTTTCCTTTGTTTACAGTGTTTCATAGTCAATGTGCTGGTGCAATTTTTCGTAAATAGGAGTACGTGCCATTTTTGAACTTGCTATACATGTATAAAGCATGTAATTACAGTAACTAGGCATATTTTGACTACTAGGAAAAAGAACGTGCTGTGCGATATTTATGCTTTTGCAATTTTTAAACATTTGTTTCAAAAATAATTTTTAAAAGATTTATTTATTTTTATTTGAAAGAGAAGGAGAAACAGAGACAGAGAGAGGAAGATATTGCATCCATTGCTTATCTTCCAAATGGCTGCAAGAGTGGGCCTGAACTGATCTGAAACCAAGAGCTTCCACGTGGGTGCAGGGGTCCAAGGCCTTGGGCTATTCTCTGCTGATTTCCCAGACCACAGGCAGGGAGCTGGACCAGAAGTGGAGCAGCTAGGCCCGATGTGGTAGCCTAGCAGCTAATGTCATCACCTTGCACGTGCTGGGATCCCACATGGACACTGGTTCTATTCCCAGCGGTCCTATTTCTCATCCTGATCCCTGCTTGTAGCCTGGGAGGGCAGTTGAGGTTGGCCCAAAGCCTTGGGACCCTGTATCCACATGGGAAACCCAGAGGAGGCTCCTGGCTCCTAGCTTTGGATTGGCACAGTTCCTGTCATTGCAGCCACTTGGGGAGTGAATCAATGGATGGAAGATCTTCCTCTCTGTATATCTGATTTTCCAATGAAAACAAATAAATCATAAAAAAAAGAAGAAGTGGAGCAGCAAGGACATGAACATGGCTGGAGGAATAGCCTGTTGAGCCACCACACCAGTTTCTTATATTCTTGCATTTAAAAAAGAAGAACAAGAATTAATATCAAGTACTTATTAATGTGAACCATGCAAATCTTACATCAGGTTCAAGGCATTCTTGCATTTTTGTTTGCAATAAGCAAAACTTCGGGGATTTAGATTCTCTTTTTAAAAGAATAATATCCATTTGTTTAAATAATTGGATATTTTTGTTTGTTTTGATTGGTTATATGTTTGAAAGAAGTGTACAAAGAGAAAGAGATCTTCCTTCTGCTGGTTCTCCTCTCAGATGGCCACTGCAGCCAGGGGTGGGCCAACCCAAGGCCAGGAGCCAGGAGCTTCGTTCTGGTCTCCCAAGTGGGTGGCAGGTGTCCAGGTACCTGGGACACATGTGGCTGCTATCCTCAGGTCTTTGGCGGGGAGCTGGATCAGAGGTGGAGCAGCCAGGATAGATTGGTGCCTATATGGGAGGCCAGTGCCTCAGGTAGCAGCTTTACATGCTATGTCACAATGCAGCTTCTAGAAATCTCTTATTTTTGGGGAAAAAAAGAAAAGTATTATGTATTCAGGTTGAATTGTTCAATAATGGGGCCTAAACTGACTTGGGAAACAAAACTAATGAAACCAGTGACACTGTTTTTCTTAAATGTAGGTTTCCATTATTCCAAATAAATATTTAGTAAGTCCTTTTCTAGTACTGGTGATACTATTAAAATTTCACTGTAGCAGAAAGACTAAGATGTGTAGTATGTGTGAATATATATAAAAGGGAAGTGCAGACCCAAAAAAACTCACTAGTGGAAGAGCTTTACTGCACCTTTATTGCTGGAAAGGGGATCCATGGCCAAATGATGTGCTTATTTATGCATTGGAAGTAAGGCACTGTGCTGGTTCCTGGGCTAAGAGTAAGGACAGTATTGTGTAGATTTGTAGGCATGAAAGTTTTTGTCCTTTATAAGGAATGCTAACACTAGGCTTGTCAAAAGAAAACACATAAAAGGCTAAAACAAAGCAGAAAATGGTGTGTAAGCAGTGCAAAACAAACATTAGTAGGAGTTCAAATGAGAGCTAGATTATTATCAGCTCATATGGTTGAAATCAATCCTTTGTTGAAGAAAATGGGCCAAAAGCTAAATTTCAGAAGATGAATATGATCTGGATAAAGAATATGGGAAATGAAATTAAAATTCATTTTTTACAAATCTATTTTTTATTTGAAAGGCAGAGTTACAGAGAGAAGTAGAGACACACACAGAGAGAAAGAGACAGACAAAGAGAGAATGTTTCATCTGCTGGTTCCCTCCCCAAATGACCTCCACAGCCAGGGCTGAGCTGATCTGAAGCCAGGAGCCTGGGGCTTCTTCTGGGTCTCCCGTGTGGGTGTAGGGGCTCAAGGACATGAGCCATCTGCTGATTTCACAGACCACAAACCGGAAGCTGGATCAGAAGTGGAGCAATCAGGACAGGAACTGGCACCTATGTGGGTTGCTGGTGCCATAAGCAAAGGATCAGCCTACTGTGCCACAGAATCAGAATTAAGATTCTGAATGAAACAATTACTTTTTTCTCTATCCTTTAATTTTAAATCTAGACAAAGCAGTATTACCTCTCTGAATGGCATGCAGAAAAAGTAGGTTATAGTTGTGCTTTTGCTGCTGATAAGCCATGTAATCTGGGGCAGTCTGGACCGTGAGACAAGGAGGGAATCTTCAAACTTGCCACTGATTGTTCCTCTATTTACAGTAATCCCCCCATGCTTTGATATCATCAGCAATAAAATGGACATTCTCATTCCATGTGTTCACTGGGGATTAAAAAGTAAAATGCTGTCATAAAAATTTGGAGTTATTATATGACTGAATTAAGGTTGCACGTTCAGGAGATGCGTGTGTGTCATAGTCTGTTTTTGAAACAAAACTCTTGCTTATTTACAGATTGAAAACTGTAACTACGCAGTGGAGCTCGGGAAGAACAAGGCTAAGTTCTCTTTGGTTGGCATTGCTGGACAAGACCTAAATGAAGGCAATGCAACCCTCACTCTAGCGCTGGTGTGGCAGCTCATGAGACGGTAACGGCTGATGGGTTTATGGCAACACTGTCAGTTTTATTCTGCTAGATATTTCAACTAAACCTGTAGCAACCTCTGAAAGAACACAAAGAAATATACAATAACAAAATGCTATTTTTAAAAGATTGAACAAGGGTTAGGTATGTGTCTTATAAACTATGTTTTATTTTTAAAAATGAGTCTGTCTCTAGCAATAGCATCAATTGTATTCCTACATTTTAAAGACAGTTTGTAAAGAGTTGGTTTCGATTTCTAAAATGCTATGTAGTAGCTTTTATTTCTGATTAGAGAATGTTTGAATGTAATCACATGCAAATACCGGGCTAAAATTAGAAATATGTATTAGTGCAGACTCTAAAAATAGTATTTAAATAGTAATAGAAACGATGCAAAAATTTTTCATTTCTTTCCATCTGAGCTATGCACTTTTTCTGTTGCAGGTACACACTGAATGTGCTGTCAGATCTTGGAGAGGGTGAGAAAGTAAATGATGATGTTATTATTAAATGGGTCAATCAGACTCTTAAAAATGCAAACAAAAGTACTTCTATTTCCAGTTTTAAGGTAATCAAGATTTTTTTAAAGTCTCTTGTAAATTTAGGAAGTAATGTGTTGGTTCATAATTACATTGCTTTTATATCTCAGAAACACAGTTTATTAGCTTAGGCATATTAATTACTTGGCATGTGTAAAATAGAAATATTCAGTTTGATCGTTTTCTTTACTTTTAATTAAGTTGTCCTATTGAGAATAGATGTAGGTTAGTATTATTGGACTATAATGATCTAATCTTAAAAGTGTAAGAATAGAGCCAAAACAATCCAACAGTCAAGAAAGAAAGATTAAAAAAACGATTGTTTCTGTGGGACCCATAATGTTTTGTGCTCCCTAGCAGCAGTCTCAGAATTGTATTGACATCATTTCCAAGGCATAACAGAGCCAGCCAAACCGATTCAAGTGGGAATTGAGAAAACTGGTAGGAAAAAAAATATCTTATCATCTGGCTTCATAATGCACTTAACACGCACTTCTGAGCATTTGTGGATGACTCATAAAGCACTCAAAATATAATCTGTATGTACATACCCACTAATTTTCCATGCATTTCCATTGTGTTTCGCTTTTGCATGCACGCTGGTTGTCAACTGTGAATAAGCATGCCTGCTTGTACACATTCATTCAGTGAGTCTTGTGCCTGTGATTTTATTACATGTGAAAAAGTAGCAATTTATATTTTTTTTAGTGAAATAAAAATGTACAAACAGATGAATCACTAGGCTGTTGTAAGAGACACCTACCCATCTTTTCCCTCTCTTTGCTGACGCTCTGTATGTTTAGCAACAATGGAAGAATGGTCATTGTGTGAAAAATTGACAAAATCAATATTCTCATCTTTACTAACAAGGAAGGCTAAAAAAAATGGCTTTTAAAACAAGACAGGTAGATGTTGGCAAAGGTATTACATGGGTACTAGTTAAAGTGCTTTTTTTCCCCCTTTGTCATCTTGGAAGGAACTAAAACCATGTGTTTTTATTATTGCTTATTGAAGTTTTAGGAAGGTTTTTATTTCATGGTTTCTCCATGTGTTTTAGACGTAAACACAAATTAAATATGCAAAATGAGTATATATTATAAAAATCTGTAATTGGGAGTTACTGTTTAATATTAGCAAAATGAAATGATATGCATTTGCATATTACTTTATAAAAATAGTAGGTAATTATATAATTAAACCAAATACAATGATAAAATATTTGGCAACAAATTTAAAACAAACAAAAGTTAATTAATACTTATTGATACTTATTATTATTGATACTTACTGTACTTATATGATACTTATTATACTTATATACGTATACTATAAAGCAAATGATAAAATTAGAGTAACTAATACAGTTAAGATTTTCATGAATAAGAAGTTCAGTTGATTTATTCCAACTAAGTGGTCAGATAAGAGCGGGTAGAAGATGGTTTCATTTGTAGATCAGATGGAAATGGACTTTGGAATGAAGGAGAACCAGGAATCCTGATATTTGGGCCCTGGATCACTGGAAAGCAGAATAACATTCAAAGAAATGGGGATGTCTTGAGGTGAAACTGATTTCTGGAGAGATGATTAAGTCAGTTTTAAACCTACAGAATTTGGGGTCATTTTCAGCATTTGGTGAAAGGGAATACAGACTTGATCATGAGTTGATTGAAAGAGGAAAAAAAAATGGGATTACTTAAACCCAGTAAGGGAAAGTGCTTACAAAAGACAGTCGGGGGAGTACAGTTCAACGTAGGACAGAAGAGCCTAGGAGCTACTTGAGAAGAACATCTCTAAAGACAGTCCATGGCAATGAGTGCTATAAAACACAACCATGTCTGGAGGCGGTCTCAACAATCATTATCAAGACTGTGCTATAATTGGAAATGTTAGAAAAGATGAATTTACCCTTTTTAGTTGCAAAGCAATTTTCCCACACCAAGAAGATAGGGAGGTGGTATTCCAACACATAACACTCATCTCAGTTCCCTTCACTGAGTTCCACTTCTGTGCAAAGCACTCTGCACATTGTTTAATTCTCGCAGGGACTCTATGAGCAAAAGATTAAGCGTTAGAGAAGTGAAATAACTTGTCCATTATCACGCACCTTTTACGCAGGTCAGATTTTACATATACGTATATTTACTAGTGGATTAAAAGCCAGGCTTTGGAGTACATGGCCCTGGATTTGACTCTTGGTCCAATCATGTATTAGTTGTATGATCTATTGCTTATTCATGCCCCAAAGAGTCAAGGTTTACCCTGTGTAGGTGCCTTGCTAGTCACTACAACTGTGAAGTGCCCACAAACAGCTCAATATTTAGGGAAGGAGGCAAATTAAGGAAATAGAAATCATTCTATGGGGTATCAACAATCAGCAAATAGGAAGATTCCATGAAGTTTATAGATAATGGGTATTATGAAAAAACAAAGAAACAAAACTACGCATAGATTTCAAAAATTTCCACACCAATGGCAGGCATTGGGTGTAGTGATTAAGATGCATTTTAACACTGACATCCCAGATGGGGCTGTTTGGGTGTAAGTCACAGATCCTGCTCACCCTGAGTGACTCACCCCGAGCCACCACCCACGTGAGAGGCCAGGACTGAGTTCTCGGCTCCAGCCTGCTGCAGCCCTGGCTGTTGAGAGCATCTGGGGAGTAAATCAGTGGGTGCAATCTGCCTGCCTCGCTGTGTGTCTCTGCCTTTCAAATAAAATGAAATTAATCATTTTTTTAAAAACCGTACCAAAATAACTTCTTTTAATTCCATTTTCCGTAAGCTTCTTGAAGTATTCTGTATGTAAATCAGCTAAAGAGTGTATGGCAACACATAGAGGGACGTTTGTTTTACACCAAAGAAATCTCAGCAGTTTACACTGACAGAGCCTGTGTCTGCTGAGGAGACAGAACTTCTGACTCAACACTTGACATCTGCTGACCTTGAACAAGTAATCCACTTCTCTGCGCTTTGGGTTTTCCAGATCTGAAATGGAGATATTAATAACTTCGACCTTCTGGGTTTGTTGTCAGACTTAGTTAACAAATGTAAACCCGTGCACACCTATGAAGGGCTCAGTAATTTGGCATGCTCAGGTGTTGGAGCTGCCAACATATTGAGTGTATCCCAGTGGGGCAGGAGATGGACGAGCTCCTGCCGAATCTTGTAGGGAGCGCTCATGTCCACATCACTGTGTTTATTTTTAAACAGTAAAAGGGAGAGCAATGGAATGGAGTTTATTAAGTAACTGGTATCGCCTCCAAAAAGTTTATGCAGATGTGTATTATGAAAAAAAAAAACTGTATGGATCTCAACAATTTCAAAAGTGTATTTCTTAATTTCATTTTTATAAACTTTTTGAAGTATATTGCAAACGAGGTTAATTAAACTCAAGGTAGGCTCCTTTTAAGATTCTTAATAACTTATTTTTGCTTAAATCATTTATTAAGCAATCATTATTAAAATCAGCTTATTAAGAAAATGGAAAGAACAAGTGATATAAACGCATTTATACAGTAAACGGCTCTCATTGCAACTCCTTCCCCTTTGTAAGTTTTTCACTGACAGTTACATATCAAAGGAGATGAAAGATGAGAGGAATCTGAAATTGTATTCAGCAACTTAAGCTTTTCATTACCACATGGTAAGAACTTTTCCCAGGGTGATTTATAAGAAAATAGGTAGGAAAAAAATATCTTTGTTTTCCAAGTCTAAATGAAGACGTATTTAAAATACTACACAAATTAACCAAAATATTACACTATTGAGCAATTTGTTTTTGAATCATCTTAGAAATGTGTAAAAGGTAAGCTCAGAGCAATTATTTATTCTAGGATGATATATTTATTTTAGAAAGTATAATAGTATAGAGTCACTTAGAAAGCTTACTAAAAATAGATTGCCAGTATTATTCAGATTATCCTACTCATTAAAAGTGGGGCTAAGTTTTTAATAAGCACACAAGTTAGTTTGTATGGAAGTATTCTATAGACGATTGAGGAAACATATAAGAAGCAGAAGGAAAAAATACCCTCCCTTTCTCATGTCCAACAAACCAGTCCAGATAACCAGTACCAGATTAAGGGACCTTACTGTTTTGTTTTTTTAAGATTTATTTACTTTTGTTGGAAAGCCAGATATACATAGAGAGGGAGATACAGAGAGAAAGATCTTCCATCTGCTGGTTCACTTCCTAAGTGGCTGCAGTGGTGGGAGCTGAGCTGAGCTAAAGCCAGGAGCCAGGAGCTTCTGGGTTTCCCACACAGGTGCAGGTTCCCAAGGAGTTGGGCCATACTCCACTGCTTTCGTAGACCACAGGTAGGAAGCTGAATTGAAAGTGGAACAGCCAGGACATGAACTGGTACCCACATGGGATCCAGACAGTTGCATGGTAAGGATTTGGCCACCAGGTCATTGCGCCAGGGCTGGCCTAGTCACCTTCAAATTGTTTCATCAGACATTTACCAAGAACCCAAATTTGGTTAAGAATTGTGCCAGAAGCTTTGACCTTTAGTAATATTCCCAAGAATCTTTTGATATTCTACAGATTAGAAAAGGTACTTGGGACTTCAAGTAACAGAAACCTGATTTAAGATATTTCAGACTAAAAAAAAAAAAAAAAAAAAAAAAAGGAACTGATTACAATGACAGAGATCTAGATATAGAGTAAACTCTGGGATTGGTGAGCCAATTGGTTGAATTTCATTTAGAACGTGGGGTTTTACCCATCTCTTCTTTGCCATCTAACATGTCAGTTTCACCCTAATCTGGCTCCCTTTGGCCCCAGCACGATGGCCTAGTGGCTAAAGTCCTCGCCTTGGACATGCTGGGATCCCATATGGGCGCCGGTTCTAATCCCGACAGCTCCACTTCCCATCCAGCTCCCTGCTTGTGGTCTGGGAAAGCAGTGGAGAATGGCCCAAAGTCTTGGGACCCTACACCCTTGTGGAAACCCGGAAGAGGCTCCTGGCTTCGGATCGGCTCAGCACGGCCATTGCAGTCACTTGGGGAGTGAATCATCAGATGCAAGATCATCCTCTCTGTCTCACCTCCTCTCTGTATATCTGCCTTTCCAATAAAAATAAAATAAATCCTTAAAAAGAAATGTCTGGCTCTCCTCTGGATCACATACAGATAGCAGCTGGTTATGACCGTTTCGTTCTCTCCGTCATTTCCAAGCAGAGAGTTTGTCAGCTTTCCGTAGCTTACATTAAACCCAAATTAAATCATTTGATAATAAGATTATTCTATTAGACTTGGACTACTGTTCCAAGCCTGTTTTTGATTATGGCTTTCCTAAAGAGGTTTTTTTTTAAGACACTTAGTTTCCAGATATCTTATTTCCATGAAATGTTATGGGAGAGATAAATTGTTTATTTTATTAGGCACTACACATGTATATATGTACATATACACTATATATATATATATAGTATGTATTATATATATATATATATATATATAATTGATAAAGTTGTCACCTGGCCTCCATTGAGAGTAGAGGTTAGAACAATTCAGTTGCACTCCTGGAGCTGTGAATGAGATGTTTTCTTTAAAGCCCATGTCCAAGTGACAGAGGTATAGATACAAAGCAAAATTAAAATTCTCTTAGGATAGGAAAAGAAGTAAGCAATGAGAAAAATCTAAGTACTGTGGTTATAATTCCGGTGGAAAAAGATCAGGAGAGGAATATTATTCCAGTATTGGTAGGTTGCAAAACTAATTCAGGTACGGAGTTCTGACTGCAGTGTTGTATCCATTAACTTTTAGTTATCCATTGTTAGCTGGCCATGTAGCTTCAAGATGCAAAAACCTTTGGGTATTAGATTGTCTTTGTTTAGATACTGATTCTGTACTTAATTGGTTGTGTTAGCTCATTTGAGCTTTATTGTTAGGATTTGGGGGTTAAAATGATACTTAAGTAAGCCAAAACATGTCAAGTAACAATGCATTTGTAAACAGTAGTTCCCTTTCACTATTGCCTTTTTTTTTCCCTGAAAAAATATTAAGTGCAAGTTAGGAATTAAAGGTCTAAGAAATATTACTAAAATATGTAAAATTGATCTCCTATTCCCTTTCAAAAGTTGCTTAGTTTTTACAGAATGGATACAATAGTTAGCACACTTAGCGACTGTCATATTGACAAACTTTCTTCAGGTACGGTGACAACTCTACACTATAATTTGTATAGAGATAGAAGGAAAAGCAGATTTTAAATGATATGTCATGTGTGCTGGTTGTAGAACAGTTGAATAGTAGGAGCAATAAAAGCAGAGAGGTTATTCTCAATTTTACAACCATAACCAGAGGAATCTGATAATGAAAGGTATTTATGAGCGTTCACCTCTTCTTTATTTTCTAGGATAAATCCATTAGCACAAGTTTACCTGTACTAGACTTAATAGATGCCATTGCACCCAATGCAGTCCGTCAAGAAATGATCAAACGAGAAAACCTGTCTGATGAGGACAAGCTGAACAATGCTAAGTACGGCTTGATGGTTTATCTTGTAACACACATGGGCTTTAAAAGTATAATTTAAAATTTATACTTCTATGTCCAGCTTATATGAGGAATAGGATGTAAATTTGCAGACATAACCTTTGGGTGAAGTTAATCTTATCTAAGTATTTCATTTATAAATACTAAATGGGAACACAGTAGATGACAATTACCAAGATTTTTTTTTTTATCTTTTCAAGATATGCCATCTCAGTTGCCCGCAAGATTGGTGCCCGGATATACGCATTACCTGATGACCTCGTAGAAGTAAAACCAAAGATGGTTATGACGGTGTTCGCGTGCTTAATGGGAAGAGGACTGAACAGAATAAAATAATGAAACAAAAGATATGATTTTCTGCCACATTAAATGTATTGAATGCCTCACAGTTTACAGAATTCTGGAATGTAGTGGGCATAAAATCAGAGATTATTTGTATGTCTGAAATAGTTATAGACTCATTAATGAATCCATTGTCCTGTTCATAGTAGTTATAATTAGTCAGCCTTTTTGGATAAAGTAATTATTTTACCAATCAAGATTGATCATAGAGTATGTTCACCACAAATGATATTTCATGATTGAAATCATCTGTTTCTGGAAAGTCTCATTTAAACAAGACTGATTCATTACTTTTCATGGTTCAAAAAAGAACAATACAGAAGTTTCTGTAGGTTCTGCTGTGAAATGTGTTTTGATTTTTTTTTTTGGTGTGATATTTAATTTTGATGTTGAATGTATCTACTCACAATCCAGTTTAATCCTTCCAGTTTCTTCTTCTAACTATGTAAAGTGAACCTTAACTTTCTGTATTTTCTATATTGCCTAAAACTTTAAAGGGACAAGTACTGTTCGTTAACATTAAGCTTTTTACATATATGACAACTAATTCTTAAGCCCCAACGTCCACTCTCTAGCCTGGTAAGACAGCTTTATCTATGACATACATTATGTACTATATGTTGTTAGGATGTTATATATTCCATATATAATTTTGCACCTGATTTTCTGAAGTATCCCTAAATGGTATGTATAAACCATTAAGTATTTATTTTGCCCCCATGAAATGTGTGACACCTTTCAATTTGTGGATACATGGTATATAAATATTTCTTTTAAATACTCATTTTGAATACACATGTGTTTTTCAATAGACTCTTTTCAAATACCTGTAGCCAAACATTGGTTAAAACATCTTTAGGCAAGCTGACATGACCCTGTTAGTCTCATGCTATAATTGCTAGTTTACATCTGTACTGAAACAAACCCTCTATAATTTATAATATGTTCACTGAATATCTGTAGGAGAAAGTAAAAAATACTCAACAAAGAACATTTTCACAGCATCCTATACACTGGCAGCGTTTGGTTAACACTGTGTTAGACCTGTGTTTGAGTTTTAGCAGCGGTCCAGTTCTACTGTTCATAGTTTAAGCTGGCTATCCGTTTCCTCCCTCTTGCATTGTTAGTGCCAGTGAGCAATACTGCTACGCAACAAAAAGCCTGTGACTTTATCGCAATGTGAGTGAATGGCTTAAACCCCCTTCTACTATTGATTCAGACATACATGTTGGTAAGAGTGAGACTCTCCAAGTGTTTAGAATAGGATCTTTTTAAAATGAAATGACCAATGGGTGGAAAGTTCAAATGTATCCTTCTGGAGATTTCCTTCCCTTTTAGGTTTTGATGATTGTTTTCTTGTATGATGATTAAGATACATTCTTGCTCTTTTGTGATATTATTTAAATCATGCCCCCTTTGATTTTTCACCATTATATTTGCTAAACTGATTAACATGAAATTTGGCACTTTAGGATATTCTTTCCCTCACAATATATGTTTAATAAAAATGCTGTGTATGTAGAAATGCGTCAGTATTTATTTTGTTTAAATAAAATTGTATAGCCTTGAAATTTAGCCCAATAAATAATTTTTTTTCAGTAAAGAACACCACTCCTAAATGAATCAGTGAGACAAAAAAGCATCATTAGATAACTTTCCAAGGTAGTGATAGTTCTTTTGTTCTTTTTTCTTTTTGTCTTCTGTACTTTTCCTTCCTTCTTTCTTTTTATCTTTCAGTTTTTTTTAAAGATTTATTAATTCACTGTGTAAGTCAGAGATACAGAGACAGGGAGAGACAAAGAGAAAAAACCTTCCATTTGCTGATTCACTCTCCAAATGGGACACACAATTGGCCAGAGCTGGACCAGGCTGAAACCAGGAGCCAGGAGCTGCACACAGGTCTCCTGCACAGGTGGCAGGAGCCCAACCATTTGGGCATCATCTGCTGGTTTCCTGGGAGCATTAGCAGAGAGCTGGGGCAGAAGCAGAGTAGCCAGTACTCGAACTAGAATCTGATGGGATGCTGGCCCCTCAAGCAGAGGCTTGCCCTTCTGCCACACAACATCAGTCCCTCTCTTTTCCCCTAATATGAGGAATTTTATTGTAAACCGACTGCATGATTTTTGTAAATTTAGTTTTTGTTGATATAGAGTGAATCAAGCAGTACATTAACATGAACTTATTGGTGCCATAATCTATGTATAACCCCATATTAGATCCTGGAAGATTTCAACTGAGAAAAATACAAAGTGTTGGGGCCAGCTTGGTGGCACAACAAGCTAATCCTCTTCCCTGTGGTGCCAGGATCCCATGTGGTTGCCAGCTCATGTCTGGGCTGCTCCATTTGCAATCCATATGGCCTGGGAAAGCAGCGGAGGATGCCCTGCTCTCCAGTGGGAGACCCAGAAGAAGTTCCTGACTCCTGGATTCTGATCAATTCAGCTCTAGCCACTGTGGCCATTTGGGGAGTGAACCAGTGGATGGAAGACCTCTCTCCTTCTCTCGCTCTCTGTATACTTTGCCTTCCAAATAAAAATAAGTAAATCTTTGAAAAATGAAAATTAAAAACCAGAGTCTTCTTGACTTGGTATTCTAGTGAAATAAATAGGAATTTTAGATAGTGATAAGGCAGAAGCAATGACAAGGTAATGTGATCCAGACTGACTTGGACGGTAGGATGGAGGTTCATCTTGGTTATTAGGGAGATCTGAGTGTTCAGCAAGAGAGCAAGTGCAAAGATCTGAGGTAGGAAATGTCTTGCAAGCACCATAGAAAGCAATTGGGCAAATGTAGCCTGCAAGTAATGAGGGAGAAGTGGAACCAAGGCTGTAGCAGATTAGTAATTGTACCTGCACTGTCAGCCTGCGCTTGTTTCTGTTGCAACACTGTCTCCGAGGGGGCCAGATCACAAGAAACAAGGAACGGGCACAGCCCCACTAAATCAGCTTGACCATGATCATGTATATTGCCTGCCTGAGGAAGATGGATCATTCTGTTCCCCCATTACACAGCCTTGACATCGCTGTTACCCAGCTATAATAGAAAAGGACGGGGAGAAAACCATACTTTCTCCTGATTTTTTAAAAAAGATTATTTTGGGGGCTGAGATTGTGGTGTAGCAAGTTAAGCCAATGCTTGCAGCACTTGTATCCCAGATGGACACCGGTTTGAGTCCCACCTGCCCCACTTCTAATCCACCTTCTGGCTAATGCACCTGAAAAAGCAATAGAAGGTGGCCCAAGGGCTTGGAACCATGTGGGAGAACCAGAGGAAGCTCCTGGCTCCAGGCTTTAGCCCGACACAGCCCCAGACATTGGGACTATTTCTTGAATGAAGCAGCAATGGAAAACCTTTTGCTCTGTTTTTGAAAGGCAGAATTACGGAGTGAGAGAGAGAGAGAGAGAGAGAGAGAGAGAGAGAGAGAGTGAGAGAGATTGCATCCACTGATTCACTGTGCCAGGCTGAAGTCAGGAGAATAGAGTTTCTTCTGGGTTTCCCGTGTGGGCAGGTGTCCAAGCATGGACCTTCCTCCGCTGCTTTGCCAGCTGCATTAGCAGGAAGCTAGATCAGAAGCAGGATCTTGAACCAGCACCCATGTGGGATGCCAGTGTCTCAAGCAGCAGTTAACATGCTATGCTACAATGCCAGCCTCCACTGTCTCCTTTACTTTCCCTAAGAAAACAGTTTTGCTCTGGGCAATTCTACTTGAGGTGGAATATTTAGCAACATCCCTTGCAAACAGACTCCTTGGGTCTAGCAAGTGGGAGAGGGTCTGCTGATGTAAATATGGTCTGTCTTACCTGTTGCAGTAGATCTAAATCTGAATTTTTTTCTGTCTGGAGTGGTTAGTGCTCATCTATACCTGCTTTGTGTAAATTGCTTTGAATACTGTGTTGCTTTGAATCTTGCATATCATTGTTCATTGTAACTCTACCATCAGTCTCCATATCACATTTTCAAAATACATCTATAGATCCTATAGATGCTGTTCAAATACTCTTCTTAAATGATCAGACAGGCCGGGGGAAGGCTTTCCAATACCCAAGATGATCTGAAAGGATTTCTTAAGAACAGGGGCACTGGCAGCACTGCTTCACTGTGAAGTAAACACAGTCTCCAAAGGCTTTGGATTATCTCCTAGGATTATCTGCTCAGGTGGCTCACAATCCAGTCCCTGTCTGTGCGAGAATCTTCTAGATAAAGCGTCATCCAAGCTCGGCAGCTCGAAATGGTTTCAGATGGAGAAGCAGTAGTTACATTTCTCTTTCCCTCTGTCTCTGAATACAGCATCGATATCTATTTTACAGTCAGAGTTCTGAGCCATCTGAATTTTGGGCCTCAGTCACTGAACTTACGGATGAGTCAGAGTTTCTCTGTTGCTGAAACAACATTTTGTTGTCTTACGAAGGGTGGAAGCAGACATGTGTAAACAAATGCATACCTTCATTCTCTGTTTCTGCCTTTCAAAGTTACAATAAGCAAGTTTGTCATTCCACTGGGTACACAGAGTTGGGCCTGTATGATGCTACTTCAAAAAATACATGGAAAATGATGAATGTTGGTGCAAAAAATATCTTGAGATTTGTGCATAGTTTTTCATGCTACATGTTTCCCTAGACTTCAGGTTTCTCTGCATCATAACCGTTAAAAAAATGTATTTTACTTGAGAGTCAGAGTTAAAGAGAGAGGGATCCTCTGTTCCCTGCTTTACTCCCCAAAAGGTCCCAATGCTAGTGCTGGGCTTATTTGTAGCAAGGATCCAACTGCTTCTTCCGGGTTTCCCACATCTGTGCAGACCATCCTGCAAGTGCTGTCTCAGCGCATTACCAGAGAGCTGGATGGGAGGAGGAGCAGCCAAATGAGGATTAGCCAACTGAACCATCGCGCCTGCCACTGCTTTAAATCTTTAACTAAAAGCTTCACTTGAAAAATAAGTTATTCCAAGAAGCAGCAAGTTAGAGAACTTCAATCAGCTCCTTAAATAACAGATCTATCGTTCAAAGTCCGATTTATTATAAAAGTTACGATAAATCACTGTGGAGAATAGGTCCTGAAAGGGGTCTATGCTGTTACCTTTGAAATGCAAGCAAATAAACAAATGCGTGACACAGAACTGGAATGCCCTTGTTGGAGGGGGAAGGAGTTGTTTAAACAAACAGCCTTTAGAACTGAGAACAGACTGCCCCAGAATTGGCTTTGACTGATCGATTTTGACCAAACGTCAGGTCGGCGGAGCCTCCATTAACATAGTGCTGTATGCAAGGCGGCGGGGAATTTACTTCAAATGTCCCCTGGGTCCAGCGCCGCACCGAGTCCTCTGCAGCCCGAAGCTTCCGAGCCCAAGCCGTCTAGGGAGGAGCGTGGGTGGGTGGTGCGTCCCTGAGCCACTCCTCAGCGCAAGTCCCGCCCCTCCCGGGCCCCGCCCACGTCCCGCCCCATCCTCGCCAAGGCTCCTCCGCAGCCCGACGCCCCGCCCCGGCCCCCGCCCACATCCCGACTCCGCCCCCGCCCCGGCTCCATCCTCGCCAAGGCTCCGCCGCAGCCCGACGCCCCGCCCCGCCCAGGCCCCGCCCACACCCCGACTACGGCCCCGCCCCCGCCCCATCCTCGCCAAGGCTCCGCTGCAGCCCGACGCCCCGCCCCACCCAGGCCCCACCCACACCCCGACTCCGCCCTGGTCCGGCCCCGCCCCCTCCGTCAACTCCCGCCCACGCCACAGGCCCCGCCCCGATGGCGTAGCTACAGCCGAGTAGATGATGACGTGAGAGTCGCGAACATCTCCGGGCGCAGCTGAGCCGGCGGTTCCCACAGCCTTGGAACCCGGCGCGCTCAGCAGCGCCGCTCGGAGCGCTTCTCTGACGGATCTCTCGTCCTCCTCCCGGCCGGGCCGCCCCCTGTGCGGCCCCTGCGGCTCCTGGCACGGCCCCGCGCTCGGCTGCCGCCCTGGCGCGCTCCAGTCTGTCGTCCCCGGACGGGCGCGGACCGGCTCGGCCCGGGCGCCGGCGGCTGGGGAGGGGGCGCTGGCCCCGGGGCCGCGCATGCGCTGCCACCAACCTGGGGCTGTCCGTGGAGGGCGAGTGCTGGCTGCGAGGGGACGCGGCGCCCTTCGGGGCCAACGGGCCGCATGCGGAGGCGGCCTTGGGAACGACCCACCCGTTTTCCAGCCCTGGGGCGGGGTTGGGGTCGGGGTCGGGGCTGGCAGGGGCCCCGCCCCCGTCTCCGGGCCTGCCCCCTTCATGGGCCGCGATGATGGCGGCCCTGTACCCGACCACGGACCTCTCGGGCGCCTCCTCCCTGCCTTCCTCCCCATCCTCTTCGTCGCCCAACGAGGTGATGGCGCTGAAGGATGTGCGGGAGGTGAAGGAGGAGAACACCCTGAATGAGAAGCTTTTCTTGCTGGCGTGCGACAAGGGTGAGAGTTAGGCCCCTTTCTCCGCCTCTGGACGCCCCCCGTCCTCCACACCCTTGGGTCTCTCCTCGACTTACTGCGAGCAGCTCCTGCACCCCGGGAGCTGGC